TCTGTAGTCATGCTGGGGACGGGTGTCCGGTCCAGTGTGGCTCGAGGTCCCTGACCTTACGCCCTCGTGTCCACTGGACCCTGTTGTTTGTTGAGCTTGAGCCCGCACGTGCCCGGGGAAGCCAAAGGAAGGTGTTTTGTGAGCAAGGGTTTCACTCCGCGGGGTGAGTCACATCTTTGCCCAGTGTCTTCAGGGGGGACTTTGAAAATACCTGGCACAGAGGCGCACACACGGGCGGTGCTTCGAAAACGGGGCGCCCTCGCCCTCGCCCGTGTGAGCCGTTGCAAGGTGGGCTAGGTTTCGGCTGGCAGCACCCATCAGCCGCAGCAGCCTGTGGCCACCGTGGCAACGGGGCTGGTGCTGAGGCTGGGTCAGGGAGGCTGTCTCTCCCTCCCCTTTTCCAGCAGACTGGGCGGGGAGAGCTCTTCAGGCAAAGGGGTGAGGCTCAGTGGGGTGTGAGCCATCTACAGGTTTGTGGGGCGCTCACCGGGCGTCCTCCCTGGGACCAGAGAGTGAGGGGCCAGGAGGCCCAGGATGTGACCGTCTTCGTTAACCCTAACCCCATGAAACCAGCTTCTCGTCCTCACCCGCACCGCGCTGTCCCGTGCCCCAGGTGGAATGCCTGTGCAGAGTTCAGCGTCGCCGAGGCTGGGGATAAAAACGTCCGCGTGTGTCCCGGGTCCGCCTGGAGAGCGACCTGGCAGCAGCGGCAGAGCCGCCTGGGCACCGCACACGCGTGCATTCCTTCCGAGGTCGGGGACGCCCGCCCTGTCGCTTGGGGACAGGGCATCTTTGAAGTGGCCCCACTGGAAACCCACGATGACCCGGTTCTCCTAACCCCGAGGCAGTGCTCTCGTGCGCTGTGGTTCCCTGCGGCGCAGGCAGGGCGAGTCAGGAGGGGAGCAGAGAAAGCCCTGGACTTCTGTGGAAAGGGCTGCAGGGGCGGCGGCGGCGGTGGCTACGCAGCCGGCGGCCCCCGTCCTCGGTGTCAGCAGTTTCGCTCCACCCCTGACCGGGGAGCGTGTCCTCCTTTGGGGGCGATGAGGAGACACGGGGTCCGTTAGTCCTGGGACTGGACAGGACCTTCCCAGACCCCCTGCCGGGACTCAGGGTCCACCCTCCTCCTCCGGCCACGCTGGTCGGTCCCTGCTCCTGGGTCCCCCAGGAAGGGGGTTCCCCTGCCTCTCGGGAGACGCGATGGGGTTCAGGATGCGATGGGGTTCAGCCCCCCACGGGGGAGAACACTCGTCTGTCCCTGCAGGGGCGTGCTCGGCCCTGCTCGGAGGAGGTGCAGGCATCGGGGTTAGTGGCTGAGCCGTTAACCTTGAACCGAGCCCTCGTGTGCCCTGGGTTCCCTTTACCCTCCTCCGGAGGAGGAGCCCTCTCCCGGGTGCGGCAGGGAGGAGGGCCTTTCTGTCTGCCGTTGGTCCCTCTCATTGGGGGGGGGGAGTGCACGCAGCGGAGAGGGGGGGACACGGGCGTGGGACGTGGGCAGACCCGGCGTTTCATCCCAGCTCCGGCCGATCGGCTACGCGTCCTCGGGCAGGCCGCATGGCCTGGGCGAGGGCACCCTGACAAAGAAGGCTGTCGGTGGGCTCCTGGGACCTCGGGGACTACCTGAGGGTGGTGTCCATGAAGCCCTGGGCACAGCACCCCGCATGTGATACACAATGCCAGCACCCAGGGGCTGCGAGCGTTCAGTGCACACAGTGTTCCTGCGGCCAGGACGGTGCCGGGAGGCGGGGGATCCAGAGAGGACCCACAGGGCCACGGCCACGGCCACGCCTGAGCCACCCCTGAGCCGTCCCTGAGCGCACAGGGGCGGCTGGTCTGGGAACTCGCACAGAGATCGGGGAGCTGTCAGTGTCTGCCTGGAAATGAAAGCCACAGGGGGCAGATGTGGCCGCCAAGAAAGAGTAAAAAGAGCCCAGATGTCCGTGTGTCTGTGGCATCAGTGGTCTCTCAGATGGAACCGGGCAGCCGCCCGCTGGGGTCGCCGTCAGCGGCATACACCGCAAAGGGCCTTTCTGGAGAAAGCGGTCCCGGACAGCGGGCGTCTCGGTGCGCCTCCGCCCTCGCCTGTCCTCGCCGCCCCGCTCCCCTCCCAAGGCCGGAGCTGAGGAGGTGACCGGCGGGTGGGATGGCCCCCGGGCACCCCTGACGCCCTGCGGCCTCCTGCACGCACACCCCTGCAGCTGAACCCCCTTGGCCTCGTGCACCCTGCCAGCAGTCACCCCACTTCCCCTGAGAAGCACCCTCCGTGGGGTAAGCCCTCCCACTTGGAAACCCCCCACCCTGCATTTTCCCTGGTGAGGCTGCGGCGCCGGGCACCCCTCCCCAGCCCGGGGGAGCCGGCCCTGCCCATAGGAGCAGGTGAGGGCATCCCCTACTGGAGCTGCTGCTGCGACACAGGCGAGCAGCTCCTGCCACGCGTCCCGGGGAGAGCCAGGGAGCGCCTCCTCTGGCTCCTCGCCCTCCACAGAAGGGCCGGGGTGAGGATGCCCCCGCCCGCCCGCCCGCCCCATCTTCTTTCGAGCAACAACTCTGCCCAGGAAAATCTGAGCTCAGCCTGTGGGATGGCGAGGCTGTAATTAGCGAGGACATCTCATTACCACTGGGGACAGGGGCACCCAGGGTTCCTGCACGGGCTTCTGGGGCCGCTCATGTTCCCGGCTTCGGGAAACAAACAGCCGGAGGCTGGGCTGTGAGCGGCGGCCTTGTGGTTTAGGGCAAGAGTCTGTGGCTTTTCCTCACCGGGCAGAAACGTCTTCGGAAAGGCCTCTGCGTGCTGCCGCGTCTGTCTGAGGCCGGCGAGCCCCGGCCAGGGCCTGGGGGCGGGCGGCAGCCGTGGGCAGAGAGGGCTGAGTCTGCCGTTTAGCCCTGCTGTCGCCCGGGCAGGGGGTCCTGGACCGCCTGGACCGTGCAAACGCGTGTGCCGTGCTGTCCCGAGGAGGCACCTGGAGATCGGTCTGTGTGGTCTGGGGGCGGCGGATGCTCACCAGGGTCGACAGCTCAGCCAGGGGGCTCGGTGAGGGGCGCCGTGGCCTGGGGCTGCGTCTGCGGCCTGGCGCTGACCTTGCATCATCGGGGGCACCGGCCTCACGCCTCTGACCTCGGCCCTGTCTGCGGGGCAGGCGGGGAACCAGTATGGGACCATTCTGTGTCACAGCTGAGCTTCGGAAGACGGCAGTGGTGAAACAGCATAGTTTTGGTCCCACACCGGCCTTGCGTCTGGCCCTGCTCCCCTCCCCACCCACTGACGGAGCCTCAAGCAGATTCCGGAGCTTTTCTGGTCGCTTCTGGTATTGCCAGGCGGGTCTGTCCCCATATCGGAGCCTCAGGGTCCCATGCGGGCCACACGATTCTTCTCTCCCAGCTCAGGCCTGATGCTGGGGTTGGGGATGAGCAGGAGGGCACCGGGGACAGGGAGGGTCCCGGTGCTTTCTTTCCTCCTCCCGCGCCCCCAGAACTCACACACCGTGGCACTGCTGCGGGCTCCCCCGCCGGCTGACTGGGACAGGGGGGTGGGGGCCGGAGGAGAAGGGAAAGGCCTTGTGTTTCCTCGGGGCAGTTGCAGCCCCTGGGGCTCTCCGATGACCCCGGTACGGCGGCTCCCCGCCTCTCCCACGGGGGGTCCTCACTCTGTGCTGCCCGCCGGCCCCGCCTGCTGCGGTCTGCCCACCGGGGCAGCCCACTCCAGCTGAGCTGGGGGGCTGCTCCCCCTCCAGCCCTCAGCTGCCTTTTTCCTGTGGCAGGACGTACTCTTGTCCCCCCAGACTCTGGGGAGCAGGCCCCTGCCACGTGGCCTCCCCCCACTGTCTGCTGTGTAGCCGGCTCCTGGCCAGCAGCTCAGAATTCCTCCGGGCGAGGGGCTGGCACTGGGGGCTGCCCTCTACTCCTCTGTACCCCCCAGAAAAGCATCTTTTTGAAATGGGTGGGCACTTTTTAAAAAGATTTTATTTATTTACTCTTAGAGAGAGGGGAAGGGAGGGAGAAAGAGAGGGAGAGAAATATCAGTGTGTGGTTGCCTCTCATGCACTCCCAACTGGGGACCTGGCCCACAACCCAGGCAGTGTCGTGACTGGGAGTCGAACCGGTGACCCTTCAGTTCGCAGGTCAGTGCTCAATCCACTGAGCTACAGCAGCCAGGGTGGGTGGGCACTCCTCACCCACTGTCCACATCCCACCAACACGGCCACCGTCCTGCCGACGTTCTATTACGTCTGCCCGGTGGCCAGTCCAGCTCCTGGGATGTGGTAAGTGCTCAGAAAAGGTGAGGTACGGTCAGTATCATCATCAGCACCACACGCTTCGGACGACAGCAGGGGCCGAGAAGCAGAGGGTGGGGAAGGGCTGTCTTTGGTGCTGCGCTGTTTCGTTCCCGGTGCCGGCACCCCCCCCCCTTGGGGGCCGCATGCAGGACGTGTGCCCAGGGGGTCATGTAAGGCAGGCAGCTGTGCCCTGGTTTCCCTCTCTGTAACACGGGGGTAATCACAGTGACTCCCACGAGGGCTGCCGTGAGGGTGCAGTGGCAAGTGTGGACTCCCCAGAACAGCGCCGGCCCACAGCACGCGCCCTCTGTGCCGCCAGGACCGCCGGCATTGTCCACAGGAGGAGAACGTTCCGGTTGTCGCAGAGATGAGGGGCTGGGGGAGGGGAGCCTGGCACGCAGCAGGCGCTCAGTACAAGACCGTTCTCCTCGTTCTCGTGAGAACGCAGGCGAGTGCAGGGCGAGAGAGGGGCGCAGAGAAGGGCCTGCAGGCGTGGGAGCGGTGAGAAGTGAGCGAAGGCAGGAGGCAGGAGCGTGTCACGCGTGGGGACCGGACGAAGACAGTGTAGCTCGGATCCCGGGAGACGCAGGGTGCACTTTTTTTCTGCTGCTGCCTCAGCGTCCTGCGGACTCTCGGAGCCCCTTCCAAAGGCCGGTTTCCGCCTGCACGTCTCCACGGCTGCCTTTGCGTTTTTTTCTGGACACAGGCCTGCTCCGCGCCTCCCCAAGGATGGCCCACCAGGGCACGTTCTGCTTCTTCCGCCTGGGGCTCCTGCTCGGCTCTGTGCTCGTGGCGGCCCCGGCGCCGGCCACTCCCGAGCCTCCTGGCTGCGGTGACAGGGAGCATCAGGTGACCGTCAGCCACACCTACAAGATCGACGTGCCCACGTCGGCGCTGGTGCAGGTGGAGGCCGACCCTCAGCCCCTCGGGGACGACGGCGCCCCGCTCCCGGCCCTGGGGGAGGCCGAGGAACAGAACATCATCTTCAGGCACAACATCCGCCTGCAGACGCCGCGCAAGGACTGCGAGCTGGTGGGCGTGGTGCAGGGCCTCCTGGACCGCGTGGCGAAGCTGGAGGAGGAGACAGCGCGGGTGAGGGGGCAGTGTGCCGCCCAGCGGTGCTGCCCGGGAGCTGCCGGTGAGCTGGCCGCCTGCGCTCGTTCTAGACGCACTTCGTGAGCACCCGCTGCGCAGGGTGGTGCAACCCCACCCATCGCTTTAGGTTTTCCCTGGGGGGCGAGCGGGGGGGCTCCTCACTGACACCAGCTGGGGGCGGGGGCAGGCAGGCCTGGGCAGGGAGGGGCCTTCCAGGGAGCCCGGACCTCTGGGTCAGTGCCCCCAGGTGGGAATGCTCCGAGGGGCTGTTTAACCGGTGGGTCCAGTCTCTCGGGGTGGGGGGGGGTCAGGGGGGAGCAGTGGGATCGAGAGGACAGAGCGAGCAGGACCGGGGACACGCCTCAGTGCTGCCGCTTTTTAGCTCCGTGACTTGAGGCGAATTCGCAAGTTCCCTGAACTGTGCAGTGAGGATAATTCTACCCACTGGTCTGGTTCTGAGACCTACAGACGCTGTATTATTTACGGTCCCTGGCCCGTAGGACAGAGTCAGCAGATTGTTTTTATATACACATTTTTCAGGGCCTTGAACGGGGTGGGGGCCCTCAGAGGGTGAGGGCAGCTTTGGCTCCCCCGTGGGGGGCTGCGTTCCCGACTCAGCTGGGGGAGAGGAGGCTGGGCACCAAAATCTAGCTGAGAATAAGGTTAAGGAGTTCGGGGGAGTGCTGCTGGGAGGAAAGACCCTGGGCTCGGGTCGGGGGGGGGGCTCCCCTCTCTTCGGGGTGAGAGCTCCTCTCTGGCAGGGAGAGGGGCGGCTGCTTTGTCTGGGTCCTGAAGCCCAAGGCGGAAGGAAGGTGGGCTGGGTCAGCAGGGGTAGGGGCCTCCCTAAGGGGCTGAGACCCTTCCAGGCTCCGCAGGCAGGAGGGAGGCAGGCAGGGAGGGAGGGAGGGAGGGGCGGCTTGAGGGAGCGGTGGGGAGCCAGCCCCTTCCTCGACGAGTCAGGCCTCGTACAAGGGACAGGACAGCGGGGAAGAAGGCACCGGCGGAACTTAAATACGTTTGTAAATGGTGTTTGTAGAATATCTAGGAAGCAGCCCACTGCTCCAGTGGCTAAAAATCCCTCCTTCCCGGGCAAGGTTGCTTCGAAGGGAAGGCCGGCCACTCTTGTGCTGTCCCTTAGCGAGTTTGCCGGTGGAGTGGCGAGGCGGGTGGGGAGGGCAGGGCCCCGGGGTGGGCGCACCCCGTCCCTGGACGCACCCGGGAGGCCTGCTCCGACCGGGACTGACACGCTGGGTCAAGACAGGCAGGACGGGCTGGGTGGGGGGAGGCAAAGGCTGTGGGGAGGGTGGGGGCGGGGGGCAGGGGGTGAGGGAGGGGGCGCAGCTGCCGTCTCTGCCCCTCTGAACACCTGGGTCCCTGCAGGAGAAGAAAGAAAAATGATTTTTTTCAGTTACAGGTTACGGTCGACATTACTTTGTGCTAGTTTGAGGTGTGCGGTACAGTGGTTAGACCATCATACATTTACAAAGTGACCCCCCGAAGTTTCCAGTCCCCCCCGGCCCCCCCCACGGAATCACAATATTAGTGACTGTAGTCTCTAGGCCAGACTTTACATCCCCACCACTGTTTTGTAACTGCCAGTCCGTGCTTCCCAATCCCTGCACTTTTTTTAAACATGAACTGCCGGGGCTGACCCAAATAATTAATAATGCAGAGGGGCCCTTCACGTGCCTGTCCACGCCCCCACGTGCTGCACCCAGAAATGAATCGGCGTGGGGCTGCCCTTGGGGGGTTTCCGAGGATTAAGCGTTTTCAGGAAGGAAAGCGGGTGTTTGGAGAAACGGGGGTTACTGACTGGCCCACCCCGAAACCGCCTCTTGCTGTCTGGGGTCGGAGAGGGCAGGGCAGCAAAGCCCTTCCCCCCCACCCCCCCCATCGCCCCCCATCCGCTGGGCTGTTGAGTAGCGTCTGCAGGTCCACTTTCCCGGGCTTCCGTGGGGGCTCATTTCCCCAGGACCCGGTCTCACTAGGCCCAGCCCCCTCCAGCCGCCCAGCCTGGAGTTCACCCGCCGGCCCCAGGAGCTTGTCTCGGCCTGAGCCCAGGCTGCAGCAAGGGCAGAGAATGAGCACCGTTGAGAGAGGACAGAGCAGGAGCATTCCCATGAGTGCTTGGGATGGGGAAGGAAAGGGAAGGGTGGTTCCTTTTTAGGCAGAAGAGGAGGGAACAGGTATCAGATTTCACAGGTCAGAGTCTGGCCCAGGTTGGAGGGGGTGGCCCCCCTACCGTGCTCCAGAGAAAGCGCCACAGGGGCCCGCGCTTCGGGGTCTCCAGGGAAGGAGGCCCGCTCTGCGGCCCACAGCCCTGTCTTCCCTCTCGCCGGCAGGCGTGAGCCGCCACTGCAGCGGCCACGGGACCTTCTCCCAGGAGACCTGCAGCTGCCGCTGCGAGCAGGGCTGGGAGGGCGCCGACTGCGCGGAGCCGGCCTGCCCCGCCGCGTGCAGCGGCCACGGGCGCTGCGAGGACGGCCGCTGCCGCTGCGCCGCGCCCTACGTGGGGGCCGACTGCGCCTACCCCGCCTGCCCCGGGAACTGCAGCGGGCAGGGCGTGTGCGTGCGAGGCGTGTGCCAGTGCGACGAGGCCTTCACGTCGGAGGACTGCAGCGAGCAGCGCTGCCCCGGCGACTGCAGCGGCCACGGCTTCTGCGACACGGGCGAGTGCTACTGCGAGGAGGGCTTCTCCGGCCTGGACTGCGCGCAGGGTGAGCGCCGAGCCCCGCCCCCACCGGGGCTCTCCCCTGCCCTGCACCCCCCCCCCACCCCCCGACCTCGGGTAACCCCTGTCTTCTGAGGGGCGGGCCTAGCCCCCACCAGCTGCCCTGGAGGGCTCGTTAAAGCACAGCTGGCTGCGCCCACCCTGAGTGTCTGATTCAGCAGGTCTGGGATGGGCCTGAGAATTTGCATTTTCAGCAAGTTCCCAAAGGCCGCCGCGGCTGCTGGCTTCAGGACCAGTGGTCTTGTGGGATCTAGTGGCTGTGTGTGTGTGTGAGTGTGCGTGTGTTAGTGTAGGGGGTCAGCATGAACTCCCAAAAACCGGGTGACTTTTGGGGGGTCTGGAAGGGTGCCTCACACAGCTGCTGCACACCCAGTAGGTAGCATTGAGTACATAGTGGGTGCTCAGCGAGTGCTCATTGGCTGTGGGTTCTGCCCCTCCCCCCTCGCCCTCCCCGCCCTGTTCCTGTCCTGCGCAGTGGACGCCCCCCAGAGCCTGCAGCTGCTCAAGAGCTCGGAGGACTCCCTGCTGGTGGGCTGGCAGCCCTCCGCCGAGGTGGACCACTACCTCCTCAGCTACCACCCGCTGGGCAAGGAGCTCTCCGGGAAGCAGGTCCAGGTGCCCAAGGAGCAGCACAGCTACGACATCCTCGGTCTGCTGCCCGGGACCAAGTACATCGTCACCCTGCGCAACGTGAAGAAAGACGTTTCCAGCAGCCCCCAGCACCTGCTGGCCACCACCGGTGAGGGGCCCCCTCCCCCAGGAGAGGCGCCACGGTGCACGGTGTGTTCAGTGGTCCCCGCCAGTGCCCTTCCACTAGCCAGGCTGTTGTCCTGATTTGGGGCTGGAAAGGCAGCTGCTGCGATCCCAGGGCCTGCAGAGAAGTCTCAGTTCTTGCTCCCCCCACCAATTGTTGAGTCCCCCAAGCCGGTGTCAGAGCCCGCTGCCTCGGAACCCCCGGCTCCTCTGCCCCTGAGAGCAGTTTGAGGTCCGACTGCCCGCACCCACACACAAGCAGCCACATGCCTGCGTCCCCGAGTCCCCGCCGAGCCTCTGAGGCCATGCTGCAGGTTCAGGTTGGGGGTCAGAGCGGGGGTCTTCTGAAGCCACCTATTGGCTCGGTCTCAGCAGGAGAGAGGGGAGAAATAGGGCGGTTGAAGATGTAATGAAAAGGTTATTTGCCAAGGTGTGGGTGGGGCTTGGGTGGTGTCACACTCTAGGACTAGCAGCCCTGGGGCTGCACCCCCGGAGCTACAGGGGAGGAGGCGGGGCTACAGGGGAGGAGGCGGGGCTACAGGGGAGGAGGCGGGAGTTGGCGCTGAGACCCAGCCAGAGCCGCAGGAGGGGGCTGCCCGGTGAGCTGCTTTGGTAACAGGACACAGGCAGTCAGCTGGGTGCCCCCGGGAGGGAGTGAAGGAGTTCAGTTGCCCCAGTTCTGTCTCCTGCCATGTGACCTTCTGGTGACCCTCACTGGTGGAACCCAACCGGAAGCCAAAGGGCCCTCGCCTGGCTAATGCAGCTCCTAGAGGTCAGAATCTGGGATACAGAGCAGCATGGGGGACGGATCTGGAGGGACAAACGGAGTCTCTGGGGCACCACCAAATGCTGCCAAAACGTTCGGAAGGACCAGCATCGCTGCTTACTCTTTAGAAATTCTCGTTTCCTCTTGGGAGCTCTTAAAGCTGCTTAGCTCTTCAAGGCTCATTTCTTCATGCAACATATCTTATTGAGCATCTACTACGGGCCAGGCACTGTTCTAGATGCTGATGAAAATGAGCTGCCTCCATCCCGCCCTGAACTCCTGGGGAGAGTAACCCGGGAGCCCCAGACAAACAGGCCTGTGGCACACAGTGCCCTCGAGGAAACGCCTGGCTGCCCGTCTGGCTGCCCGGGGCAGGGCTGACTCAGGGCTGGAGAGAGCCGTGAGGGACTTGTGCTCCGGGGGCACAATTTCTGATTGCCTTTGCCTGCTCCTCCGGCCAAAGACCCCTCTGGAAACATCCCTGCAGTTGAACAAGCTGCATTTATCGACTGTTTCAGCAGGAGGAGAAGGCACGCCCGGCGGGGGTGGCGGTGGGGGGCACAGTGGGCGTCTGAGAGAGAGAGGGTGAGAAAGACGGGAGTGGGGTGTGGGCGGGGTGGGTGACTTGGGGAGGGTGGGAGGGAGCAGCGCGTTGCAGGCTCTCAGGAAGTGGGGGTGACTCCATGACGGCACCTCGGGGACTCTCACCTAGAGGGGCAGCCTTGAGCTGTGATCGTCACACCAGGAGAGCAGTGAGTTAGGAGAGAGGTCGTTGGGTCGTTTTAGTAGTTTCAACGATGTTCCCGTGTTTGCCCGTGTTCAGACGTCACCACGAATGGTCTTGTTTTTGTCCCTATCTGTCGTGGCCGCAGAGCTGCCCGTCTGGCGTCGCTGTCCCAGACGACCGCCCCTTGGCCTCTCGTCCCAGGGGCCTGTGGGACCCTGCGTGGCGGGGCTTCTCTCCGTCTGATCCGACTCATGGCCAACTCGCCCTCACTTACTCCTCGGGGGCCTCAGCCCGGGAGATGCCCGTCCCAGTAATAACCTCGACTGTTTCCCCGAAAGTCCTGCTTTTCCACGGCTGAGCCCTGCAGGACCGTCTCCGTTACTCGCTTCCTGACTGGTCCCCCCGGAGACACGGTCTCTGCAGGGGGCACCTGCAGGCCGGGCGGGCCGTGTCCCCTGGGCAGGCCCAGCAGCAGCCCGGGCTCTGGCCGTGGGGATTCAGATGCTCCCGAGACCCCAGCGCCGCCCGCTTCGCCACCACCCAGAGTCCTTGCCTCGGGGCCACGTCAGCGAGCCGTTCCCTTTGTGTCACTCATTAGACCTGCTCTGCGTGGGGGAGGGGGGCAGAGTTTTAGCCTGTAGCTTTCGCTGTGAATGAGTGCACACAGTAACCCTGCTTCACGGACGGACAGACCGGGTGGGCAGGCCAGGACACCAGGTACCGGGTGGAGGTGCCGAAGGCTGGCCGGAGGTGCAGGCAGGGTGCTCAGAAGGACCGAGTGAAGGTTCACCCACTTCAGTGTTGCCCCGGGTTAGCCCCGCCAGGAGCACCTGGGGGGCCGAGGAAGGAGCGGGTGGTGTGATCAGCGTCCAACTCCAGAACCTGCGAGATGCATTTCCCGACAGGAAGGGCCCGAGCCCCTCTTCCTGGGCTGAGTCTTGGGGGGCAGGGGCTGTGCTCCCGTAGGGCAGGTGTCCAGTTCAGCTCAGAGCAGCCTGAGCCCCGGGCCGAGCACTGGTGAGGGCCGGCCGGAGCGTTGTGGTCGGGAGGGCTGCGCGGTCCGAGGGGCTGGGACGGGCAGGGACGGCTTTCCCGGGGCTGCGGGCCACGTGCAAACCGGCAGCCGCCTGGGTGGTCTGAGACACCTGGGTCCCCGGGCGGGGGCCTGCGCTCCGTGGGTGTCCTGAAGGCGAGCTGACCTGGCAGCCTGCGGCCTGGGAGGCACCTGCTGCACCTCGGCCCCTCACCGCCTCCCCATGCCGCCCCGGCCCCTGTCCTAGATCTCGCTGTGCCGGGCACCGCCTGGGTGACGGACGAGACGGAGAGCTCCCTGGACGTGGAGTGGGAGAACCTGCCAACCGAGGTGGACTATTACAAGCTGCTGTACGGCCCCGTGGCAGGGCAGGAGGTGGCCGAGGTCACCGTGCCCAAGAGTAGCAACCCCAAGAGCAGATACGACATCACCGGTAAGAGCCAATGCCAGGGACATGGATGGGGGGGCAGGGGTGGGGGGCCGGGGACCCACACCTGACTGCTCAGGTGTGCGCGGGGCCTGGGAGTCACCTGAACCCTGGCCCCAGAAAGCTCCAGACAGGAGCCCGTTCTAGAAGCCCCAGGGCTCTGCCCCAGCCTCCCAGAGCGACCCCAGGATCTCAGGGCACCCGGTGACAGAGGGGGCATCCGACACGGGACGCCCGAAGCTTCTACAATTTCCAGGGTCTTCTTTCAGAAAAGCACTACGGCCATCAAACATCCGGCACGAGGGCTGGGAAGGGGCCCGAGGCCGAGGGCTGCCCGGCGAGGCCTCCTCTGGGGCCCGCTCCTCTGGGCCCGCTCCTCCGGCTGTCCCCCCGGGTTCCACCCCAAACGGCCATCTGGGGTCTCCACAGTGCTGCCATGAGAAACAGGGTTCACTCACTCACGTACACTGCTGTCTGCCTGCATTTGGCCAGCCATCATTCGAGTTGATTCTACTGAGAAATCACAACAACGAAAGGCAGACAAAAGAAAAAAGGAAACATTTAGCTTAATTCTTGTAATGAGAAGGAAAGAAACTTTGGAGGGGAAAGGATGGTGGGGAGCAGAAAGTTGATCGATCGGGCTGTGGGGACAGTGGGGAGCCAGGGCTCAGTGGCCCCGCAGGGGAAGCTCCACGGGCTTCGTGGCGTCCACGGGTACCTCACCCCGCCCCCGTGCCCCCCCACCAAAGGGTAAGCCCCTCCTCCATGCTCCCTGCTCCCTGCTCCCTGCCGGGAGCCCTGGGGCCTGCAGCTCTTCACCCGCCTAGATGGATTCCTTGTCAGGTGGGAAGCCCAGCCCCTCTCCCCGCCCCCCAACAGAGAATCCCCCGGGAGTGCAGTGCCCGGGGCAGAGGGGCCGGAAGATGCACTCACATCCAGCGTGGGCCGCCTGTTCTCAGGTCTGCAGCCCGGGACGGAGTACAGGATCATAGTCGTGCCCGTGAGAGGAGACCTGGAGGGCAAGCGGATGCTGCTGACCGGCAGCACAGGTGAGGGCTGCTTGGGGGCACTGGGCCTCTCCTCTCCTCGCCAGGCACGACTCTGGGGCTTGTGTGAGGAGAGATTCTGTCTCTGTGGCCTGAAGTCGGCTTTGTGGGGCAGGAGACCGGAAGCAAACGTCCTATTTCTGTTTTGGGTATTTTTTTTTTTTTGCCATTAAGAATCTCCCCCAGGATCTTGGAGTCAAGAGAAAAGGCCATTTCTGACACCTTTTTGCTTACTTTAATAGCTCCACTGCCTGGGTTATTTTGGGGGCAGTGATTACCGTGAACCCTGGCATCTCCCCTAAGGTCTGTCACTTCTTCCCTGCTGGTCCGTGTCCGTTCCCGACACCACACGCCAGCAGTCTGCTTTAACGCGTCGGGAGATGCTCGGGGCCTCGCAGGGGGTAGCGGTGCATTTGCCATTGGTGGATTGAGAAAACATGTAATGACAAATGTTATAAATCAGTAACGTGTGACAATAAATCTGTAATTTATTCATCAGACTATTAGTGAACTAGATCTTGAAGCACCTGCGACCTTGACCGGGCAAATGGCTTCTCTGATTTTTCTTTCTCGTGTGCTTTATGGAGAAATTGACAGCCCGACCAATGTGGTCACGGAGCGAGTGACTGAAGACTCGGCGACGGTGTCCTGGGAACCTGTCCGGGCTGTCATCGATAAGTACGTGGTGCGCTACACCTCCGCCGGCGGGGAGACGAGGGACACGGTGGTGCCCAAGGAGCAGAGCAGCACCGTCCTGACGGGCCTGCGGCCGGGGGAGGCGTACCGAGTGCACGTGTGGGCCGAGAGGGGCAGCCAGGAGAGCAAGAAGGCCGACACCACGGCCCTGACAGGTGAGGGCAGCAGCGCCGGGCGGCAGTGCAGGGTAGCGGCGGATGTCCTCGCATCCGGGAGGAGGAGCCAGGAGGCCACCGCCCACCTGGCCCCAGCGCCTTGCTTTGTAAGGGTCGGGGAGCGGATAGCAAAGCAATTTCAAATTTCATAGCGATGAATTTTTTCCTTTGTAAACCTCAGACAAAAGAGACCACCAGCCTTTTTATTTGACCCAGAAGGTCACCCTTATTTGGGCTGGAATTCCATACGGAGCCCCCTCCAAGTACAGCAGCACTTCCCGATTTTCAGTTTTTGGACGGGAAAACTCCAAACGTTTGGCCAACAGGGGCTCTGGCTGCGCCTCTCGCGGTGTGCAGTGCAGCGCAGGCATGTCGTGGCACGTGACCTGGAGCCCTTTCCCGCCGGGGACACGGTTTGCATCCCGAGTCTGCCGCGAAGCTTTCATGAGGGTCCCCGTACATCACCCCCGGTGGGTTTCCCTCCGCTCTGGCAGGTGTCCTGAGACGCACGGGCAGACCCCAGGATGTCCCCTCGGCACCGCGCGCACTGCCCCTGGCCCTGCCCGAGTTCCGAGCAGCCTGGTCCTGGAGAGCGCTCGAGGTTGCCACCACCTGGCGGGAGTCATAGAAAAGGCTCCCCGGTGGGACGGGCTCTGTTCTGACCGCCACGGGGTGAAGGAGCTCTCGGAGAAGCAGATAATTCGTGCGGAGTACGGGTTCGGAAGCTTGACGGTCCAGGCTTTATAGCTGAGTGGCTTCGGGCGAGTTTCTTCTCCCTTCCTCAGGTTCTTACCTGTAGACTGGGCATCCGAGTGTCTGCATGGCAGGGCTCTGGTCGCTAGTGCGCGTGAGTGCCCGACGGACACCCTGCGAGCGCTGCGCGGTGGTGCCCGTGTCCTTTCTCCGAACGCGTCCGCCCGCCCGCAGCCCAGGCCACTGTAACGTGACTCCGCGGGCGGGGGCTCCCACTGCGGAAAGGCATATTTCACAGTTCCGGAGGCTGGGGAGCCCCGGGATCTGGGGGCCGGCTGGTTGGGTTGCTGGCGGGGACCCTCCTCGCGGAGCACCTCGCGCCCCCTTGGAGAGAGGAAGCTGAGAGTTGGAGGCGGAGGCGGCTTCCGGAGCAGGAGAAGGGACGTGCTGATCACGCGCCCAGTGGCTCGGACTTCTGACTGTCTGCGGGTTTACACTGTGAGGAGAACGTGGTATTTCATACCTCCGGTGACATACATGATAACAATTTGCTGTGCGACCTCGCGTTTACTGCCGGCCGTGACCTTGGGAGGGAGGCGCCGAGAGCTCCCTCTTCGTGGAGAGGAGCGGACGGAGACTGAAATCGTGCGGGCTGTGCAGAGCTAGCGACCCGCCGCGCCGGAGCCCAGGTGCGGACGCAGCGCCCCCACGCGGCACCTGGCGGGTGCTGCAAGCAGGGTTTCTCGTGTCGGCCATCGGCGAAAAAGCCCCTCGGCTCTGTGGCCGCAGACATAATGTTCCAAATGGAAAGAACTGGCAGCTTCTCTTCCCGGGATAATTTCCTTCCCAAAGAAAATGTGAGAGCAAATGCTGACATTTCTGGAAGTGTAACTGCTTTCAGGTAGGCACGAGGATCTGGAAACTGAAAGAGTATGTTTTCCATAAATCCAGAGGAAAGGAGACATGTGCGGATGAAGACCAGTCCTTTTCACCCGAAGGCAGCTCGTGGGGAAAGTTCCCAAGGCTGGGACTCGCCGGTGGCTTTGTCTGCACACCCGGCTTCTCGTGAGGCCCAGCTGGCTCCTGCTGGGAACTTCTGGCCTCTGGTTTCATTAAACGCTTAAGTCATCTCAATCACTGGCATGGAACAGGCTGTGAAGTTCCACTGAGGTCGTTATTTTGGTTGCGTGTATACTGGCCTTTCACGAACTAGAGAGGTGGTAACTGCTACCCTCTTTCATTTCTCTTAAAGACATTGACAGCCCCCAAAACCTGGTGACCGACCGGGTGACGGAGACCACGGCCTCCATCTCCTGGGACCCGGTGCAGGCCGCCGTCGACAGGTACATGGTGCGCTACACCTCCGCCGACGGAGACGCCCGGGAGGTGCCGGTGGGCAAGGAGCAGAGCAGCGCGGTGCTGACCGGCCTGCGGCCGGGCGTGGAGTACACGGTGTACGTGTGGGCTGCGCTGGGGGCCCGGGAGAGCCGGAAGGCCGACACCACGGCCGAGACAGGTAACGTGAGAAAGGTGGTCAATGGAAGTTGAATTTTCAGCACATGCATTTGAGTGTCCGTGGTGCCAAGGGAGGCGGCCTGAGTGGAGGGGCTTTGCAGAGCCAGTCTTGACCATCAAGCAGGCCGGCGAGCCTGGTGGTTCTGTCCACCAGCTGTTCCCCCCTGGCCGGGCCTAGCTGCTCACCAAACCCTCCGCCCACCGGAAGGGAGGCAAGAAGTTGTGATGCAGCCATGGTTTTAGCAGGCTCTGCAGAGACGTTACGAGGATGTGGCCATTGCAGCGCTGGTGATAGGTAACACTTTTAGAATGGCCGCCCGTGACAAAACGGTAAACGAGGTGCCCTGAACGCCATGGCAGACACGTGATGGACTGTTGTGATGTGCCATGGCATCGCTAAGAAGGCATCGTTCCTTCCACCTTGTCAGGGGCTAGAAGCCAAGGGAGATGGTCAAGTTTCTAATGAGTGGTCCTTTGAACTGGAGACCCAGGGGTGACTTTTCCCCCCACTTCCACTCAGGGAGAGACCGGGGATGGACCATGATTGTCCTGTGCTGAGCGATCTGGGGGATGAAGTCCTGGCGATGGGCTGGTGGCTATCTCTTCCTCGGCTTCAAAGCTTAAACTTTTCTAAACATTTTCTTAAAGAAATTGACAGCCCCCAAAACCTGGTGACCGACCGGGTGACAGAGACCACGGCCTCCATCTCCTGGGACCCGGTGCAGGCCGCCGTCGACAGGTACATGGTGCGCTACACCTCCGCCGACGGAGACTCCCGGGAGGTGCCGGTGGGCAAGGAGCAGAGCAGCGCGGTGCTGACGGGCCTGCGGCCGGGCGTGGAGTACACGGTGCACGTGTGGGCCGTGCTGGGGGCCCGGGAGAGCCGGAAGGCCGACACCACGGCCCAGACAGGTAACGGAGCTTGCACCGCGGGTCACCGCAAAGCTCAGCTTGTGGTCTGTCTAGGGTGTGGTCTGTCTAGGGCGGGGGGAAAGGGGGGCGGGGTGAAGGAGCAGGCGGGCGTCCTGCCGTCGTGCACTGAGTGCCCCTCACTGCCCTCTAGTGGCTTCTCTGCAGTGCGCAGCGCGTCGTGTGCCCTGCAGAGCCTGGGCTTGGGCGACTGGCGTCACTGTGCGCGGCCTGGGCCCTCTGCCCGCGCTCCCCGCTCGCTGCTGCGTGCGTCTCCATGGTGAGGGCTGGGCGTGAGGGAAGCACAGCAGCTGCCGTGCTGAGGGAGCCGGACCCCAGACTGGGCTGCAAAGCCGTGCCCCCGCCTCACCTGTGCACACCCTTGCTGTGGGGACTGGCTTTGTTTTGGGATGAATATTTTAGGTAAAAAAAAAAGTAGTTTTATTAGCTAAAAATAAGCAAATGTCTAGTCACTTTTAGCCCCCGAAATGTATCATTTTAGTGATTAAAGTGCCCACACCCCTGGAACCGTGTGTCCCCATTTAGGGTAGAGCCCCTCCCTGCACTGGAGGGAGGGGGGCCCAGCTGCCCGGGATTTCCGTCTGGCCCTTCAGGGGCCGGCATCCCCGGGTCCCCCGAGTCTCCCTGCGGTTTCCGGCCCTTGAGTGTTTGGCATGGCTGCGGGGGGGAGGGCGCTGCTGGTAAGTGGTCTCAGGGGTCTTGCTCCCCTGTAAGTCACACTGGCTCCTCGGGCCTGTCCCGGGGCCTGAACACTGCTGAAGTTTTTCCTTCGTGGGGCACTTCTGTGGGTTCTTCTGAGACACGTCACTTGTCTCCTCCCCTTGACCTCTCCCCGCAGTGAGTGGTCCCGTGAGAAACATACCTGCCCTGCCCCCTCCCTCGGCCCTCGTATGTGGGGTGCACCCCGGTGCCTTTCTGGGGGGATCTCCACACCCCTCTCGGACAGCTTCTCACGCCCACATCTGGTCCACGGGACATGGAGGCACCTTTCGTCCATTCAGCCAGATGTCCAGGTCTCTGCGATGCCGCAGCCTGTCACTGCATCAGGGCAACTGGCCAGTGTCCTGCCTCGTAGATATTTTAGGCACGGGTCAGACGCCTGCCCACATGGGGGCCCCCAAATCGGGCTGCTCAGCTGTGGCACAAGGGCATGGGCTTGATACGCTGGGCAGGGGCTTTCTTCCCCGGCGGGGTCTTCTGTGCACCGTAGGAAGTTCCGCAGCATCCCTGGCTCTGCCCATTGGAAGCCAGCAGCTGCCCCATCCCCCATGGGACAGTGCCCAGCAGAGGTGTGTCCAGATACTGCCAGTGGCCCCTGGTTGAGACCCCCACTCCGGGGTGCAGTCAGCACGCCCTGTGACGGGGCCACGGCAACTGCTGGCTCCCCCAAGGCTCGGGCCTCGCCCGGGGCCTCCCAGTGGAGCTCCAGAGAAACCTCCTCTTCAGGTCCCACCTCTTGGGCCTGTTCCCTGTCACAGCCTGGAGGTGGCTGCCCGGCCCAGGGCCGCAAAACTGTCGGTCCTGCCTTTGCTGTGGGCTCTCAGGTTGGAACGTAGATACTAATTTTAGCGGGTTCACGGCCTAAACCACGAGAAGCACAGTCCCACCTCCACATGCCCTGCACACGTGTGACAGGCCTGGGGGCAAAGGCGCTCGAGAAAGGGCTTTTGCAGTGAACCACTTGGAACAAAGAAGTGCCTTCATGATGGTGATGATGATGGTGATGATGATGGTGATGATGATGATGGTGATGATGGTGATGGTGATGGTGGTGATGATGATGGTGATGACGATGATGATGGTGATGATGATAATGACGATGATGGTGATGACGATGACGGTGATGACGATCGGACAGTGCAGTTTTGAACGCCCCCGCTCTGTGTGGTGTGAAGGAGTATAACCTCTTGTTCACCTGCATAAGACATCAGTGAGCTGATGTCAACTATAGCTGCGGTCACCGGGCACCCAGTCCGGGCCGGGACCCGCCACCAGGGGCATGTCATCAGTTCACACGACGCTCAAGGTGACTCTGTGGGACACACTCTGCTACTCTGTCCCCTGGGCCCCTCCATCCCCCCCACCCCATGTTTGTTCTGTGAAGGAAACTGAGGCAGAAAGACTGGTCTGCCCGTGATTACACCCTGAATTGCGGGGTGCACAGTCTGTCGTTTGGGGGTACAGGCTGTCCCCCTCGGTCTTCAGGGCCCTTTTCCACGTGATGTTTTTGGTCTTGGTTGTCACCCACCCACAGAGCTGTGTACGAGGACTGGTCACAACCTCGTTTCACAAATGCAGACATGGGACCTGCCCAAGGTCGCAAACCAAGCTAGTAGTTAGCTGCGTGGGTGCAGTGCAGCATTCACGGGGACTTCGCCCGAGGCGACCGGTGACAGTGGCGCCGAGGCAGCTGCGTTGCCCAGGGCCACAGCTTCTCTGACGGTGGCCCTGGTGCTCATTCTACTGTCCCGTGCCACCTCCTCGAGGGTCCAAGAGCCCCACTGTGGAGAGAAGGTCTGAGTCTGTGACACAGCTGAAAACCGGCACATGGGACAGGGACACCCTGGGGACAGGCGACTGCCCCCTGCCCCTACGCGACATGGCCACCCGGTCTGTCAATAGTGTCCACTGATCATCATTTTCCTCTCAGACATTGACAGCCCCCAAAACCTGGTGACCGACCGGGTGACAGAGACCACGGCCTCCATCTCCTGGGACCCGGTGCAGGCCGCCATCGACAGGTACATGGTGCGCTACATCTCCGCCGGCGGAGACGCCCAGGAGGTGCCGGTGGGCCAGGAGCAGAGCAGCGCGGTGCTGACGGGCCTGCGGCCGGGCGTGGAGTACGCGGTGCACGTGTGGGCTGAGCGAGGGACCCGGGAGAGCCGGAAGGCCGACACCACGGCCGAGACAGGTAACGGAACGTTGTTCTTGGGAGTGTGAGGCCTGTCACGCTGAGTGCGTGGCTGGTCAGTTTTTGTTTCCTGCTCTGACGCGGGGAGGACCCGTGATCTGTGCAGGGGTGGGTGGCGTCCCCTCGTCACAGACCGTGCACGTCACCCCCCAACGTCAGCTGGTTTCGTTACTGGCCGGGGCCTCCTGGTGGCCCCACTGCCATGATGGTCTCGTCGAGCCCCGTGAATGCTGGGTCGTGGACAGTGTCGAGGGTCTGCCATTGAACTTGTGAGGGGGACAGAAAAGGAAGATCAGATGCTGTCGATATTAATATGTGAAAATTAACTTTAGAAAAGTAGTCTGTGTGTCTACCAGAGCGAGGAGATGCCTGCGGTTTGCTCTGCTCTCTGAGCGGAGCGACGATGCTGGCTTGGGGAGTAAGGACAGCCTCTGTGTCATGTGCCCACCCTGTTGGGAAGGAGACATGTGGCCGCATTTCCAGGTGGCGACGGAGCCAGCCACCGAGCACTGGAAGTGCGTCTGAGACAGTACGGAGCACGTGGGAGCAGGGTTTGACGTCTGCCGGTTCACTGCTCAGTGTGTCCTGAGCGCTGGCCACTGTCCCTGCCGCTCCGCGGCAGCAAGGACCCCGAGGGCGGCAGGACGCAGGCCTCTGCCCCAGGGGCTCACACCTGCCACCGGCTGCTGGGGTCCTCACGCAGGAGATGGGAGGGCTTCGCCCACTGGTGCTGGGAACAGTGTGACTAGGTGCGGTGAGCAAAGGCCAGGCCTCCGGCTGGCCCGCACCCTGCCCGGCGCCCTGCCGCGTGCTGAGCGGGAGTGAGACACACGCCCACTAACTGAGTAAAGACACTTGTTGTGCTGCACTCTTGTGGCGGCAACGGCCTGGATTTTCAGATGCTGGTCCGCTGTGCTTGCTCCCTGAGGAGCCAAGGTCTCCGTGGGGAGAGGAGACGTGTATGTCCACGACGGAGCTAGGGCGTCTGAGATGGAAAAACCACAGAGCAGGAGCAGGCTTTGCCCCAAGCAACATGGCCACGGTTTCCGCTCCCCTTGGCCCATTAACGGTGCATGTTTTTTCTTCCAGACATTGACAGCCCCCAAAACCTGGTGACCGGCCGGGTGACGGAGACCACGGCCTCCATCTCCTGGGACCCGGTGCAGGCCGCCATCGACAGGTACATGGTGCGCTACACCTCCGCCGACGGAGACGCCCGGGAGGTGTCGGTGGGCCAGGAGCAGAGCAGCGCGGTGCTGACGGGCCTGCGGCCGGGCGTGGAGTACACGGTGCACGTGTGGGCCGAGCGGGGGACCCGGGAGAGCCGGAAGGCCGACACCACGGCCGAGACAGGTACTGTGAGGGACCCGGGCAGGGGACTCCTCACACGTGTCAGGTGTGGGGTGGGGGCGGGGAAGGCCGTTGTTTCGCCTGAGGACACTCTTCAGAGGGGTTCCCTCCTCTTACTCCGGGGTCATGCGTTGACGTGACCTTTGGGACTAACGTGAAAGAGGGCAGAGGACGTGGTGTCAGGCAGGGCCGTGTGACCGGTCGAGAAGGCAGCGCAGAAGGTCACCTCTCTGACCACCCCCGCTGCCCAGCTCCCATGTTGTGCCACTAAGGGGCACATGTGAGATCGTGGCCACTCAATTTGGAGGTTCGGATTCACAGACAATAAGGACCCCAAGTCAGGGGTGAATAGTTAAGCACTTTATTAAGCGAGGGCAAAGAGAAAAGCAAGAATCAAGAGCTTCCATCCCCGGACGGGAAGTCACCAACACCCGCACACAGACACTGGGGAATCCCAGAGACAGCCGCCTTCGGGGTTCGTCTGGGAGCCGTTCCGAGCGAAGCGTCCTCCCCGGGGTGGGGCCCCAAAGGCTCGCTGTGGGGGCTGTGATTAAACATGCTCCAGACACACGTGGCCGCGCGCCGAGGGGTCGGCGAGATTTTGGCCAACTAACCGTTCCCTCTGGGGGAAGGGCCAGTTCTCCCAGGAGAGAGCAGTGTGCTCGCCTTTTCAGGGAGGGTCACAGCTCAGGCAGAAACAGCGGGGGCTCTCCAGGTCCCTTCAACACCACACACGGCAGCCCCAGGCCGGCGGCCAGGGTGGCCAGGAGCGCGGCTGCCGCCCCCCTGCAGGCGGGGGCCACAGTGCGGCGTCTCCTCCCCGCAGGGCCCCCTCCAGGGGCCGAGCAGGGAGCCCCGGCGTCTGACTGTAGGTGCTGACGATGGGGCCTCTGGTCTCGCTGAGCATCACCACGATCGGCCCCGGGGTCCTGAGAACAGCCCGGTGCCCTGAGGTCCGCGGGCCTCCTCAGCCAGTCTGGGCGAGACCTGGCCGCCCCTCTGTGGCCGGGACAGCACTCGGGCCCCTGGAGTCACAGGAGACTTGAGTTTTGAATTATTTTTATTAGTTACATTAGGCATTTTTAAAAAGATTTTATTTATTTATTTTTAGAGAGGGAAGGGAGGGAGATGAGAGAGAGAGAAACATCAATGTGCGGTTGCTGGGGGCCATGGCCTGCAACCCAGGCATGTGCCCTGACTGGGAATCAAACCTGAGATACTTTGGTTCGCAGCCCGTGCTCAATCCACTGAGCTGCGCCAGCCAGGGCCACATTAGGCATTTTTAACCAAAGAAGTGATGCATGCTTCTATAAAAATTTTCAGACAATGGCGTGTGGGAAGAAAACCTCTTTTCCCCGGCCCAGGCTCCCTGATGGCGGCTGCACTGCTCTCCAGGGGTGGCCAGTGCCTCCTCCCTCCTCCCTGCCTCCATCCCCATTCTTGCTTCTCCTCCCTCCCTCCCTCCCCTCTGCCTCCCTTCCTCCCCATTCCTTCCTCCTCTTCTTCCTTTCCTTCTCTCTCGCTTCGCTCTCCCTTAAAGACAACGACATTATCGTGTTTCTGGTCCACAGAAATGAGAAAGTAAGACAGACCTCCACCGTCCCTAACCCAGGACAGTGGACGGAGGCGGCAGAAGTCAGCCTAAGATACTTAAATCGTCCAGGTTTGGCTTTGGTTTTGCAAGTGGAAATTCAGTTTTTCCGTGGGATGGATACACTAAAATCTATACCAGATGTTCCGCTTTAGAATGTCAAACCAAGCTGACATCACAGAAACTCAAAATTTGTCAAAACATCCTAACTCAAAACAACAGCTGCCTGATTCCTGTTCAACCGCAGCAATTCCGTGCTCCGCTGAAAAGCTACTGGGTATGAAATAGCTCGGAGACCCCTTTTTTGGGAACATGGAAATTGAAGTCGTATTCTGTAATGACTTTTCAAACTGGAAATTTCCATTCATATCTTATTTGGTTGGAAAAAAATAGTCTCTGACCAGTTACTATGGTTTGACCATGAGTTTGCTGACCTTTAGTTTTCTGGTCCCGACGCCCCCACGTCCCTGCTGGAGTTTGCGGGGAAAGTGCAGGGGACCTCAAGCAGAGCCCTGCTCGTCTCTGCCTCAGCCTTTCCTTCCCCTCCCCTCCCTCCCCTCTCCTCCCTCCCCTCCCTTCCTTTTCCTCCTTCCTACTCGCTCTCTCATCCTCCATGCAAACACCCCCGCCCGCCCCTGCTTCTCTCTGCACGGAGCACGCATCTAAGGCCACACACTTCGACATATAAGGAGTAGAGCTTCCTCTTTCTATGCCAACTTAATGTCCATCACAAGCCCTACTCTGCTTGTTGGACAAAAATCTCGGTAACTTTAGGGCCATGCTCCTCCCGCCGGATTGGATGTAAAGCCTTGGGCGGTTTCCCAACATCAGGCCCGGGGCTCCTTCGGCCCTTGGGCCGTCTCTCCGGCAGCTGTTTGCGGAGACACCCAGGCTTTCTCTCCCGTCTCCGCACCTCCGTAGGAAGTCCTGCTGTCCCTGGACCCATCCCTAGTCTAGCTTGCTCCTACCCGCCGGCCTCTGGGAGTCTGCTGGGCAGGCGGGAGCCCAGGCTCACTCCACGTGGAGGGAACTCCGCCGCCCGAGCACCTGTTCCTTCGTCCTGCCCCAGTGGATCTGTGCCTGTGGGCCCAGAGGTCGGGCAGGGCCGGTGGCGAGGGGGAACAGAGCCTGCCGCCTGCTCGAAGGGAGGAAAAGAAATGGGGGGGAGTGTGTGGGCAGGAACTATAAGTTAATGCTTCAGAAGTTGCCCTGCCCCCATTACCTTAGTAATAACCATCGCATGGCTTTCCGTACACAGACGTTGACCCTCCCAGCAACCTCCGTCCCTCTGCCATGACGCAGTCTGGCGGGGGACTGACCTGGACGGCTCCCTCTGCTCAGATCGACGGCTACATTCTGACCTACCAGCTCCCGGACGGCACCACTAAGGTACTGGACTCTCCTGGCTCTTCTCTCGGCGTCCCTGCCTGGCCCCACCCAGAACAACTGCCTCGGGTCAGCTGGCGTGATGGCTGGTGCCACGGCCGCCTGCTGATAATGCAGCGGATCCTCACTGATCGCCGGCCGTGCGCAAGGGACCGCGCTAAACACAGTTGCCTGTGGCCGCCAGGTCTCATTGTACCAGGGTTAGCCTGTGCCTGCTCCCGCTGACCACTGCGTACCTGCCGGCCACGCCTCGGCCCACGTTGTTTGTTTATCGTGCCCCATAAATCTTAGCTCCGGGAGGACAGGGACCTTTCGTCTCTTTGTCTGAGTCCTACCGGGCAGGCGCTCCATAAAGATTCATTGGATGAATTGATTAACCCTTATTTCAGAGATGACATCTCCCACCTGGGATCTGAAGGCCAGTAAATTTTCAAAATTAGTCCCAATGGAAAATTATTATCTTTTCTCCTTGGGGAAAAAAGAAAGGAGGAAGGACAGGGGAAAAGGAGAGAAGCATTGATTTGGTCATTAGCTCAATGGCTGCCTAGGACCGCCCTGCTGACAGAGGAAGACGGCGGATTCAGAAGGGAGGCGACGGGAAAACCAGCCCCCCCCCCATAGATAGCGGCCCGGTTTCCCTTCCCTCTTCACTTCTCAGCCTGGTGTGGGGGCCCCAGCACAGGCCTGGGGGCAGAGGTCCGGGAGACCCAAGGGTGCTCCCCGTGGCTGCTGCCTCGCACTGGCTCCCAGGGCCTGCGCCCAGCCCGTGCACCCAGCCTGTGCACCCCGCGGTGCTGAACCTGGAGAAGCGGCTGGGACAGGCTGGGGTCCCGGGCCACCTCTGAGCCCTCGGAGGCAGATACCGCGCCGTCCGAGAGCTTCTGGCGTTGGCACCGGGGTTGTCCCCGGCGCCCGGGTGCTGGGCATGATGAACTGAACCCGTGCCTCCCTTTTTCTCCTCTGTTCGTAGGAGGTGCGGCTGGGACCAGGGGACCTGAGGTTTGAGCTGCAAGGCCTTGAGCAGGGCGCCGCCTACCCCGTCTCCCTGGTCGCCTTCAAGGGGGAGCGCCGGAGCAGGAGTGTCTCTACCACCCTGTCCACAGGTACCGCGGACCTGCACTCCGAGGGAGAATGTCGTGGGGGAGGAGCCTCCCAGAGGCCGGGGGCCGCGCCCACGCGGGAGCCGGTGGCTGCCGAGCTGTGGGTTTCTCCAGGAAGGGGACGTGGGGATGGGGGTGTGGGTTCAGGAGAGACCCATCCCCTGGTGGAGAGACTGGAGGGGGAGTAAAAGGGGGTGTTGTTTTGTGGGGCAGCTGGGTTGGGGAGGAAGTGATGTGAACTTGACCTTATTTCTGGTGCGTTTGGACAGTGCGATGAGAGCAGTGAGCGGGGGAGGTAAGATGCGAGTGAAGAGCCAGAAGGTGCAAAGCAGTGGGAGGTCATGGACCGCTCCTGAACAAGACACATCACTTAAAATGGGGGATCAGCCCCACGGCCCTTCTCCTAACACCGCCGCCCCTCTGCCTGGCTCCTAGTTGGTGCCCGTTTCCCCCACCCCGCGGACTGCAGCCAAGTCCAACAGAACAGCAACGTCGCCAGCGGCCTGTACACCGTCTACCTGCACGGCGACGCCGGCCGGCCCCTGCAGGTGTACTGCGACATGGACACGGACGGCGGCGGCTGGACTGTGAGTCACGGGGTTCCTGGGCAGCGGCCCCTTCCCAGCCCAGGCAGCTCTAGCTCCTCTTACCCATGGGACGGGGGAGCTCCAGTAGCCCCGACACCCACAGCGCCAGAGGCCCCTCGCGCCCAAGACAGAGCAGACTGAGGCCAATGGCTGCAAGGCTCGGGGGCTGGTCCCCGTCTCATGATGCCCTGTGTGTGTGCACATGTGTGTGCGTGTGTGTGTGTTACCCACTGTCCCCCTCCTCAAAGCACTCTCCTCAACACGCCCCTCGCCGAGAGGACCCTCTCGGAAAACAAGGCCCACATGAAAGCTTCCGGGCAGGGGTGTCAGACCCATTCTCACCGGGGCCACATCGGCCTCGCGCTGCCCTCAAAGGGCCCGCTGTGATTTCAGGGCTGCGTGAGTGTGGCCGCTCCTTAGCCAGGGGCCAGGAGCTCCACATTGGGCAGGGCAGGCCCCGTGTCCGTGGCCTCCCGGCAGCCCGTGGCGCTGTCGCCCACACCTTCCCCTTCTCGGACTTCAAGAGTCCGTGTCTTCCTGCCCCCCCCCCGAATCTCAGGCTGCGCCCCCTCCCCCCACATGCCCACCCTGCTCCCCGTGGCGGTTGCAGGTGTGAGCTCCTCCCGGCTTTGTCCCCGTCTGGTTCCTGTGTCCTTCCCAGCCGGTCTCATCCTTTCCAGGGGCTTTAGTTTACGTCCCGAACCTGTTACCATACCATGCGTGCCGTGCAGCAGCAACAAACAACACCAAACTCCAATGAGCTGAAACTTAAAGTGCTTTTTCTCCCGCGTGCCCAGTCCTCTTTGGGTTTGGCCGGCATTTCCAAGGGGCGACTTAGGGGGTCGAGCTGACTCCAGTGCCCGGTCGGTGTGCAGCTGTCACCGAGGCCCGGTGGCCCGTGGCGATGGATGGAAGAGGGGGCGAGGAGAACGCCCCGCCCCCCGCCCCCCTCCTGGGCTCCCACCGGCGGCCCTCGGCTGGGGCGAGTCCCAAGGCCCCAGCTGCACGCAAGGGCGCGGCCAGGAGGTCTTCCCGGACTCCTGGCTGCGGAGGAACCTCGCATCCTCTCAGACACACGCTCTCCCCTTTACAAGCCCGGCCTGGCTCGCGCGTTAGAGCTCTGGCCCTTGCGCTCGGCGGCTCCTGTGGCATCTTCACCCACCGGTGACTCCCACCGCCGGGCCCCCAGCGAGCACGCGGGCAAACACAAAACCCCTCCGCTCCCAGAGCCCCCAGCCCAGCAAAGGGCCGTCCCGCCAGCTCCAGGACCGCAGGACCGCTCTCCACTCCCCGTCCCTCAGCTCCACTCCCAGGCCACCCCCGCACCTGTCCACGGTCCCCTCCTCTGTCCTCAGGGCAGCCCCCAGTCCGAGCTGCCGCGCCCCCTCCCTCGGTGGTGGTGGCTGTGCGAGCGCGTGTCAGAGGAAACGGCCGTCTCCCTTTGCAGGTCTTCCAGAGGCGGAACACCGGGCAGCTGGACTTCTTCAAGCGCTGGCGGACCTACGTGGAAGGCTTTGGGGACCTCAGGAAGGAGTTCTGGCTTGGTGCGGCCTTGGGGAGTCTGGGGTGGGGGGCGGTGCAGGGGGGACTTCCCCTCGGGAGGCTGGTCAGGCAGCTTGAGGACGCTCACCACGTTCAGGGGGAGGTCGCAGGGCCAGGGACCCTCCGGGGAACCTGCGGACCGGCCAGCCTGTGGAAAGGCTTCCACTGTGCTCTGGTGAAAGGGTGGGACGGTCCCAGGTGGCCTTTCGGCTGCGTCCAAGCCCCTCGGGATTTGCCGGGAGCCCGAACCCCCAAGAGCCGTAGGAGCAGGCGCAGGCGAGGGGCTGGTGGTGCGGGCTGCTGGACGGCTGTCAGGAGGGCACACTGGTCGCCGGACTTTCTGCTGGTAACGCCCGTCGTGCGGGCTCTGCTGTTTCTGGTGTCTCTCTGCTGCGTGCTCGGGCAGAGAGGTGCGTGGAGAGGGAGATGGCCAGAAACGGCCGTTGGGAAAAGAAGAATTAAGACGTCGTAATCGGGGGACTCAGTGCCCAGTAGAGTCGGCTTCGTGCAGAATCCCTTCAGGGACTGTGGAGTGGGCGGTGGGTCCCCTCTGCCCCCCGGCGGGAGGAGTGGACAGTAGCCACCAGCCGCTGAGGCCTGAGAGAGTTGAAGCCGACGGAGCAGGGTCCCCCCGGAAAGGCCCCCACCGCTGCCCCCCCAGAGGACAGGGCTTCCGCACTCCGTAGCCTGATGGTCCCGAAGAAGTAGCTGGGGGAGGAGAAACTGAGCCCCCCCGCCCCAAAGAGAAAGTGGGGGGAGGCCCGCGTGAGCAGACGGACAGAGGCGGTGAAGGCCAAGGTGACGTCTGACGAGGGGAGGTCTTCGTTTCCAGGACTCGACAAGCTGCACAACCTCACCACCGGCACCCCGACCCGGTACGAGGTGCGGGCGGACCTGCAGACGGCCAACGAGTCGGCCTACGCCGTCTACGACTCCTTCCAGGTGGCCTCGGGCAAGGAGCGGTACAAGCTCACGGTCGGGAAGTACAGGGGCACGGCAGGTGAGGGCCGCGGTCCCGGGCCCTGGTGTGCGGCGTGCCCTGGGCCTGGGGTGGGGTGCTGCCTCTGCGGAGGCCAAGGGTCCTCACCCACTGGCAGCCGGGGCCCTGCCCCCAGCAGGGGGCCTGGCGTCAACAAAGTCGTTAAGGCGATCCTGGACCCTCAGAAAACCAGAATGTTACACGCTGACCCTCCCCGTCGCACCCCCAATCCGGGCGGGGTGCTGCGCACCGGCGAGGAATGGCCCACCCCGTGTGCCTGCCCGCCCCCCACCGGGGCTCCTGGGGCGGGGCGGTGAGGCTGCCGCCCTCACGGAGTGCAGAGCACATGTGGTGTCGTTTCCACAAAGACGGGAAACGAAAGGGCCGACTCCACCAGCAGGAAGTGGGGGTCCCACCCACGTCACACGAGGTGACGACTCGGGAGGGGGCAGCAGGGCAGCGGCGGCGGTCGGGGACCCCCCCCCCATGAGTGATGTGACGGGAACCCTGGGTGCGCCACTGACTGTCTTCTTGAAGGGGGAGGGGTGGTGACTGTCTCCGTGTTACAGCTAAGCCTCTCTTCGTGGCGTTTAAAACCCTAGTTAAGTAGGTCTGCTGTTTGGTTTTGCACGTTTGTTTTCTCTTTTTAAAGTTGTTACTTTATTGCAGCCGTCCCAGCTTTCCCATTGCTCTCCCCTGCCCCGCCCCCCGCTCCCACAGTCGGCCCCCACCCCGCTGTCCATGTCCACGGGTTGCTCATGCCTGTTCGCTGGTTTTGCATGCATTTGGCTCTGGGGTGACCGTGCAGAGGAACGTGCCACCAGCCAGGTGGCCTGACTGAGCAGGACACGGCCTCTTCCCTCAAACTCACAGGGAAATAAATAGATCGGTAGTAACAGAAGGTGACTTTAGCAAAGAATCTAGTAAGTGGTCAGGAGACTGCAGGAGCGTGGACAAGGCCGGGGCGTGGGGGGCTGAGGGGACTGAAGGGGCTCCTGCAGGATGGGGTGGGGGTGCTGGAGGAAAGGCAGGGGCTCCCCAGGCCCGGGGATGTCGGGGGCTGAGCCGAGGCAGGGACATCGAGGTTCATCCTTGGCACCTGCGGCTTTGCCAGAGCTGTCCGCTCAGCGACCCCCGATGGCGGAAGCCTGTCCAGGCAGCCTGATCGGAAGTGGCCGACTGCTAATGCCAAACTTCTTCCAGGTTTTAGACTTAGCTTTAAAAAAACCACATGAATGTTGCATTTGCCCTCGTTTCCCAGGCCTTCGCATGGGCCTGGAGCACAGTAGTTGAGTCTAAAATAAGGTGCTGCCAGTGAGACCTTCCTGCACAGCCTCAGGGGTGTGTTGTGTCATGTGTGAGGAACAGTCAGAGACCCAGGCAGCCCCGTCCGGGTCGGGGAGGGGATGAGTCGGGTGACACGGTGACCTGGGGGGAGACAAAGTGCGGGGGGGGCACATCTTGACGGGTCCCCCTGTGGCTTTGTCTCATCAAGGGGCCGGGAGGTGCCTGGCCCACCCCGAAAGCTTGCCGCGGGGCTCCGGCCAGAGGGTGTCTGTGAGGGCGATCGATGGTCTCGGGGACCGGGTGTGAGTGTAGGCGTCATTCTCGTAAGAACGGAGCGGACTTGAACCTGGGATCGACACGGGCCCTGACTGCCTTTTATGAGCTGAATTAAAGGGTGAACTTGTAAAAGGATGACTGTCACGACGGGGAAACAGGAGAAAGGCAGGTAAAATAATTGCAGGTTTGCAGACACGACGAGACGGGGCACCGAGGGCACGGCGTGCCCAGAGGGCGCTGGAGGTCCAGGTGTGTGCTCGGAGCCTGAGCGGGAGGACCCAGGAGGGGACGCTTCCTCGGGGTGCGCTGGCTGAGCCGGGCTTCGGGGGCTGGGCGGGGTTTGGACTGCGGGAGAGCAGAGAGACGCCGGTGGGCAGGGGCCTGGAGGCCAGACCTGCCCCCTGCGCAGGTGGAAGGTGTCCGTGGGGACGGTGGCTGTGAGACAGAGCACAGGGAGCAGCCAAGTCCCAGGCCTGCAAAGAGAAGAGGAGAAATTCACTCCACCCCCACCCCCGTGCGGCAGAAAGTAGGACGAGATGCCTGAGATGACGGATGCGCAGGCTTCAGGGGGAGCCCGGGGGCTGCGGTGGGGACGCAGGTCCAGAGAGATGGGAGCCGCCCCAGCTGGCCGTGGAGGGGGGCGGGGAGGGAGGTGCGGAAGGATGGGCTTGATAAAGGTGCACAGCAGGTGTGTCGGACACGTGGCTCTGGGCCCACGCGGACACGTGGTTTCCGCCCCGGGCGGCTGGGCTGGGCGGAGGGTCGGGCAGAGACCGGAAGGGCGGGGGAGGTGCCCTGGGGAGAGTCGCTGCGTCGGCCCCAGGGACTCGGATCCTGCACGTGACTGTGGAGCTTCTCGGGAAGCGCCACTAGGGTGACTGGAGAAATAGGCCTGGAGTGCGGGAGACAGGCCAGGAAAGAGGACCCGTCCGTGTGGCCGCTCCGAGAGGCCCGACTGCCCGTGGCATCCCGGACGGGACCCTCGGCATTTATTTCCCTGCTGGAGATTTCCCTGCTGCGCCCTCCGCCCCTCGGTGGCGGGTGGCACGGCGTGGCCTCTCACCTCGCACGCCTTGCCTCCCCTCCTGCAGGGGACGCGCTCTCCTACCACAACGGGTGGAAGTTCACGACTTTCGACAGGGACAACGACATCGCCCTCAGCAACTGCGCCCTGACGCACCACGGCGGCTGGTGGTACAAGAACTGCCACCTGGCCAACCCCAACGGCAGATACGGGGAGACCAAGCACAGCGAGGTGGGTGACGGGCGCTGCCCCCAAAGTGACGGTCCCCAAAGTGACACCCTCCGGGCCGGGGTGTCTGCGCTGCTCCTGCTGCTGCCCCCGCTCGGGGCGGAGGAGCTGGTTTGCAGCCTCCGTGGCCTTGAGGTCAGGCACTCTCTGCCCATCCGTGGCAGCCCCTCCCTGCCCTGCAAACCCTCCAGGGCCCCACACCTGGCACAGGTCGGGGGTAGCCCAGGCTGCCCACTGCAGAACAGAGCCTCGTGCCGTGGGTCCCACACCATGTCCCTTCACCCTTTCACACGGGAACACCATCTGAGGCAGCTCTGGCTGCTAGGACAGAGCCCCATGCCCTGCAAGGCTCGAATAGCAGATGCTGTTTCTCCCTCTCCTGGGGGCTGGGAGTCCAGCATCAAGGTGTGGGCAGGTTCATTTCCTGCAAGGACCCCCCTTCCTCGTCTCCACACACCGCAGAGAGATCAAGAGAGTGCGTGCACGCTCTGGTGTGGCTCTGTCTTCTTATGAGGGCGCCAGTCTCACCACGGGGACCCCTTCTCCTGACCTCACCCAGCCCCAGGCAGCGGCGGGGACTCCTAATCCTGGAGTGATTTTTTTGAAGGGAAGAAACGTGCCCCCAGGGAGAGGGGGGAGGGGGAAAGGGGGGAGGGGCGGGCCCACCTGTCACCGGGGTAGCGAGGAGCCCCGCCCAGGGACCCGATATTTGAAAGGAGCAGCCGGCAGGCCTTCCACCAGGCCGGCGTTTGCTAATAAAAGACATTCATCTGGCTAATGTGCTTTTCACAGTCTGCAAGGCATTTAGTTTCTTGTTTATTATTTACCTCACAAATTAAAATACATAAAATTGGCCACTTGGGCTCTTTATTGGCCAGGTTGCAAGGTTATTAAGTGAATTAAATATTGCACTCACCAGTCACAAGACATAAAATGAAATTTAGTTTCTAGCAGGTTGTTTGTTACCCCCAGAGCTAATATCTAACCAGTCTAAATTGAAAATGATTTCACACAATTGGCCAATTAATATGTTTATTTTTGCCTTTAAATTCTCAGAAAGGAAAGAGGGAAGCAGAGATCGTGTGACCGGTGCCGGCCAGGTGGCCCCTGTGCTTTCCGAGCCCCAGGGGCCACTACCCAGGCCTCACCCACCTCCGGGGCCCACACCCCCATCTCCGGTCACAAGGGGGCGTCCCAGCCTGTCTCGCCCCTGCTGCCCAGCAGAGGGCGCATGTCCCCAGGTTCCACCCCCCTTTCCCTCGGGTGATGATGCCCCAGGCACCCCCTGGCTCTGTCTCCTCCCCTTAGCAGTGACCGCTCGGTTTCCCAGGCGGAGGAGCCCTCCTGCGAGCCCTTCCTGCGAGCCGCGGCCCACCCGACCCTCCTCCCAAGGGCCTCTCCTTGATGCTGGCCTTGTATTTATTGATTTATTTTTTTAATGTAGGGGGTGAACTGGGAGCCGTGGAAAGGACACGAATTCTCCATTCCTTACGTGGAGCTGAAAATCCGCCCCCACGGCTACAGCGGGCAGCACCTCCTGGGCCGCAAGAAGCGGGCCCTGGGAGAAAATTCGAGAACGTTCTGGTGACCCATTTGCCCATTCACCGCGCGCCAGGCAAGACCAGCCCGGGGAGGGGGTGGGGCTGCGTAGACGCGGGGCGGGGCGGGTGGGTCGTGCGGACCCTGAATGGAAATGGGAGGGAAGGTCAGGGCCCCGAGGCCCCGAGGTGGCTGGGTCGCCAGCAGGACAGAGCGTGTCGCCGAGGCCCAAACCGCAGAGGGCGCTTCCTCGTCCCCTGCGTCCCAGCCCCGCTGCTGGGGCCCGAGGACCCCCGGTCGTGGCCGTGGCCGTGGCCGCGCGGCCCGTGCGGGAAAGACGGCACGCGAACTGCAGGGTCTTCCGTCTGAATTCGGTAGCGAGTAAAAATAGGGTCCAGCGCTTTACCTGTCGGAAAACTCTGGAGATCGGTATATATATTTTATCGATCTGTATAGAGAGCTCGGCTAATGCAAATCTCCCCAGAAAGAAGCCCGAAGCGGCGTTCTCTCTGAGGCCGCCCGGAGCCCCGGACCCCCGCATCACCCCGGGCCCTGCGGAAAACGGGGTGAACCTTCCCCCGCAGCGAAGCTCTGCCAGTCCCCAGCCTGCTGGAACCCAGAGCGCCCCCGGTCCTGCTATTTTTAAGTGGCCTCTTTCCAGTCATTTGCATAATCCCTTCCGGAGATCTGCATATGTTGTGAATAAATTCTCACTCGGTTTAACTTTGAATAATTTGACTGTCTTGCTAATTGGCTCCTCCCAAAGACTCTCTGCGGTGGCCCCCTTTCGAAAGCCAGCCTCCCTCCCTTCCCTGGCCCCCCCCCTCCATCACCCCCCCTCCACCCAATGTGTTTGGCCTCGGAGCCTCGAGGTCTGAACGGGCACCAGGTTAGACCCTTCTGCCTTATTTCCCTGTCACTTCGGAAGGTTTTTCTGTAGGGAAGCCGGCGACCGTTGAAGTAACTCAAATTCCTATTCCAGGAGAAAGTACTAACAAACCACTTGATTAAAAATAATTGCCTTGTGTTGTTTCCCCCACGTAAGTGCACTCGAGTTCTAAATTTAACCTGATGGTGAGCCAAGGCGCGTCTGTGCGTTACAGCAGAGTGTGGCTGGCGGCGGGCTCTCACCTGCGCGATGGCAGACGATGGCGTTCGGAGGCGGGGGTTCAGTGGGGAGGAGGACAAATGGGCCCTATCGGCTGCAGTCCTCTCCAGGACCCCGGTGTCATTTATGGCCTCAGTTTCTCCTGGTTTTAACCTCTGGCTGAATGCCAAGCTGTACTTCTGAAACTTTTTTAAATCAACCTTTAACATTTTTACCCCTCCCCCAACACACACACTGAGCAATGCCACAGTTACTGCTGGATCTCATGGTGGGTGGTCTGAGCCACGTGCAGTTCCGGTGCTGGGCTGATGGTTACAAAGTACGCTGCGCCTGGTTCGTGGAGCCCACGCGAATCTGTCAGCCTGCTCCTTACCGGGCAGCGTGCTTGGCACTGGGCAGACCCAGGCGGGCAAGCTGGACGGGGCCCTGGCCCAGAAGGAGTGGGTCACTGTCCTTCCTGCACCCCTCCCTCCCTCCCTTCCTCCCTTCCTTCCTTCCTCCCTCCCTCCCTCCCACAAGTACTGGTTACACCCCAGTGTGTGCCACGCTCTTCTCTGGGTGCTGGTGCGGGGGCACCTGTCGTAGCTCCCGAGCCCGATCCGGCTCTGGCAGCACCGGAGCTCGAGCGCACTCCCTGGCCGTCTCGAAGGTCCTGCTGTGCGGCTGCCCAGCCCCGAGCTCCCGAGCTCTCTCGTGCCTTCTGCACACAGGGCCCACAGCGTGGTGGCTCAGGGGCCTCGAGCTCCCCCGAGTGGGTGCGGCTTTGTGGAAAAGGGGGGACTCCTCCGCAAAGTGGATCAGAGCAGGGAGTGACCCAGGGCCGGGGGTGGACTCGCTTGTCAACCGGACTCGGGAAGGCAGGGTCACTGAGCGTCGCCCCCGGACGCTCCGACTCTGTAGGTCTGGGCTGGGGACCACGCCGAGTAGCTCTGGCCCAGCGGTCACCCGCCGGTGGTCTTTCAGCTCTGGACACGTGGGCACGGGCAGTAGCCCCAGCCCCTGCACCCCGTGTCCTCTGACCCCAGCCTTTGTCCCCCACCAGCCGGGACAAGGACTGGGGATAACTGGTTGTGTCTTGCTGCCCTTTGCCTGTAGGACCCACGGTGCCCAGAAGGCTGAGGGTGGAGAAAACCTTAGCTGACCCTTCAAAGGTTCTATGGGAGGCAGAGCAGGAAGTGGGGGGAGGGGAGCTCATTGTCAAAGGATGTTTATCTGACCGGGAACGTTCCGGCCCTCAGGCCGCCTGCCTAACCTCATTTAACTGTGACCAGCTCGCGCCCTGGTGGCTGAAATAGGCCTCAGGAAGGGGTTTCTCCATCACCCTGCGCTCCAGGCGGTCACACGTTTTCTCAGAGTCAGGTTGGAAGCCCCACTGGGGACGAACCGAAGGAAAGAGCAGCTGTCAGAGAAGGGATAAGCTGCCAGCCAGGCACCAGGGTAGAAGCGAGGACACACGTGTCACAAGCATTTAGTCAAGTCATGCAAGATACTCCGAAGCAGTGACACCCAGCCCCTGCCCTCAGTGTGGTGGGGCCGGCCCTGGGGACACGCCAGGACAGTGCGCAGGGGACAGGTTCTCGGGTCTCCCTGCGCGTCAGAATCAGCGGGAGCTGCTGTGTTTGCAGGCCCTGCCCACCTCCGGAGCCTGTGCTTCAACGAGCCTCAGCTGCGCCCTGTGTGCTCGCCCGAGCTTTTTACAGCTCCGGGGAGGCAGCCGGGGAGGTTTCGGGCGGAGGGCAGAGGGCAGAGGTCGCAGACGGGGTGAGGGCCTTGCAATAGGCCTCACGTACGACTGACTTGGTCTGAGCCAGGAACAGTGGGGAAGGGGAGAGAGCTCAGACTGAAGAAGGGTTTGGGAGGAAGAATCGGCAGGACTGGAGGGGCCTGGGCAGTGGGGGCAGGGAGGGGCCCTCCCGTGACAGCTGAGAGCCGGCTCTCTGAAGGCGCTCTGCTGGGGTGGGGCCCCAGAGTGTCTGTCTGTCTGCTTGTGAACTGAGGATTCTCGGGGTTCTGGGACCGCTGAAGCCGGAAGGTGCTGAGGGGGCCAGGGAACACCAGCAAGGGGCTGCAGGCGGGAAGAGGGACCGTTGCTGTGGGTGCAGGGAGAGATCTGAGTGGAAGTGCAGCGTGGCAGGGGGAAGTCAAGTATAAGTGGTGCAAATCTCCTGGCGAAACTTAATCGCTTGCTGGAGGAAGTCCTGCGCGAAAAGAATTCCCAAGTCATTCCTTGAAGCCGCTCGCCAGGGCGATGGAGCGAATCAGGAGGGAAGGAGTTTCTGTGGATGGAGAGCCGCAGCCCTGGCAGGAGGCGCGCTGTTCCCGTCCAGGCCAGGAGATGGCAGTGTCGCCCCGCTCCACCGCCACTTCCTCTCCCCCATAAAGGTGAGTTCTGGGAGTTCCCACTTTTCTTCCTCCCTGGATGATGCGGCCTTGAGAGTCAGCCTGTGGGGCAGCCAACCTGTGCTTGGCCAAAACAGATCAACTGGGAAATCCCTCCAAGAGATGGCCTCGCGAGCCCGGACTCAGCCCTCAACCCGGGCTCACCTGGGTGGTGAGTCAGGTGGGATGGGCGCCGTTGGCTTGATGGAAGGAGGGTGGGGGCGCCTCGGGAAGGGAGTCTAGGCAGTTCCTAATATGCAGAGAAATCCACGCCCCGGGTCCTCCTGGTAGCCGGGCTCTCCGACGGGGAAAGAGCAGAAGGAGGTGGTTTCAGTGCCGGTGTTCAAGGAAGAAGTTAGGTTCCCAGGCCCGCCCACAAAGCCCGTGCCTTCTAGAACACAGCTGAGTGGCAGCGCGCTGGCAGCTAAGGGAGGAACCAGGAAACGGGGGTTTGGCAGTATCGTGATTTAAAGAAAAGAAGGAAACAAAAGGGAATGAAACTAGTTCCTTGTTTCGGTACGTGAAGGAAATGAGCTTTGATTGGAGTGGGCCGAGGAGGCAGATCAGGCGTGCGGAGGGACACCTGAAGGAGCCGGCTGGGCGGTCTGCAAGCGCATGCGCAGAGCGCTCTGTCGGTTCCGACTCGTTCTGAGTGCGTCCAGGGAGGTGCCCACGCCGGCTCGTGGTCGGGACGGAGACGCCTCGTGCCCAGCGGGGATGCTGGGAGAGCGGCGGCTCGGGCTGTGTTGCGTGCCAGGCCTGGGGAGCTGCTTTCTCCTCGGGGCCCCGGTTTCTTCGTTGCCAAACGGGAATGACACCCACCCCGGCTCACGCGCTGCGACGGTCGCTGCAGGAGTCCAGCGGGGGGCCTGGCAGTGCTCTGGCGTCACCGACAGCCCTTGGGCGCCTGGAGGCAGAGTGCCCGGATCTCCGGCCCCAAAACTTCATTGAACGCTTTCGGATTTTCTTCCCCTCGACAGAGGGGTGCCGCTCGCCAGCTCTGAGGTCTGTGCGCCCCGAATACCCACCAGTGGGATTATTAGGGGTCGCTAGTGGAAGGGAGAGAAAGGGCAGAGTGAGAGACAGAGCTTATCACAGGCACGGGGGATCCCTGGTGCGCATGGGAACCGGTTTCCCTGGGGGAGGTGGGAACTGGGCTGCCAGCGGAGGAAGGCGGGAACAGGCGGTGCCTGGGGGAATAGAGGAACCCTCTGGGGCGGCGTTTCCCAGACGGTGTTCCCCGGAACCCTTGCTTCTCCAGGTGCGCTAAGGAAAGAGGGTTGATGGTTCAAGAAGCTTGGGGAATCTGAGCTCAGCAGAGGCGCACCTGTTTCTTACAGGTGCGCCTCTTTCTTCGCTGTTAGAAGCGAAGGTGGTCCGTGCGTTGTGGATCTCGGAGGGGAGAGGGCCATGATGCAGTGTGTTGCCAATGTATCTGACCGTAGAGTTTGTTTGTTTTCTGAGAATCTAGTTACTGCGGTTTCTCCCGAGTGTGATTCAGAACCCACCGGCATTTACCTAGAGCGCCTGTTCCCTGGGCAGGTGTCCGGCCCCGCCCGAGATTCAACAAATCCGGCAGGAGGGTGGAGCGGGCCTGGGGCCTGCACCTGGGAGACACCCCCGGGGCTCCCCCACACCCCGCGTTCCTGTAGCGTGTAGTGCGCAGGCGCCGGGCTACGAGCCAGGGGCTGGAGGTACACCGGTGACTGACACGGCTCCACCCCGGTTCTGATGCGTGCGGGGATGGGGGCGGCGTGCTGGGAGCGTCTGACCTCCCGGAGGAGGGCGAGTCCTGTGTGGTCCGGGCAGCTTCCCTGTGCGTAGTGACGTAAAGTCTGGCACACTTCGCGGACGTGTGTTCCTCACAGCAGCGCGGACAGAATTCTAGAAACCTCTCGTCTGTCCGAGGAGCGCGGCAGTCTCGGCGCAGACAGGTGTGCGAGCACCGTGCGAGATCCAGGGGGTCTTGAGCATCTTGGGGCTGAGGCCCCGGGACGATGAAAAAGATGTTGTTGCAAACGCTTGCCTGGTCTGGCCACCGGGGGGCACTGTCGCCATACGACAGCGGTGGTGGCGGACAGGACAGGTATTAAGGCAAACTCGCTGCTTCTCACTACAAACTGGCGGCCCTTACTCACGGCTGTTCCTCCTGCTGTGGCCAGGGGTGTCCGACCTTTTGGCGTCTCTGCGCCTCACTGGAAGAAGAAGAGCTGTCTTGGGCCACACGTTAAATACACTGTGACACGTACTCACCAAAAAATCTCATCACGTTTCAAGAAAATGTACGGTTTTGTGTTGGGCCGCATTCACAGCCACCCTGGGCCACATGCGGACTGCGGTCGGACACCCCGCACAGCGCAGTGTGTGGTGCAGCGAGTGGATGTGTGGCACCCCGGCGGATAGAGAGTGTGCGTGTTATTTTCAGTCCCTGTCTCCCGTCTGCACCGGGTGACCCTCCGGCCTCTTGCTTTCCTCTCGAGAGTTTCTCCTGCTCTGACTTCTAGTGCACGGCCCTGCTGGGGTCCCCTTCCGCCCTCCCTCAGTAGTCCCACCCCCACGCGCCGACAAGCACTCAGGACAGGCCGGCCCTGCGTTCGCTGCTCTGCGAGCGTCACCTCACTCATGGACTCTGCCACGGGCCACACCGCCTGGTCCCGAGGCCTAGTGCCCACACTGGGGGGTGGTGCAGGGCAGCAGGGGGTGACGCCCCAGCCAGCTCAGAAACAACCGCACACTGTGCAGCTCCACGTGCTGGTCTGTCCCCCCTGCACCCCCCTGCCAGCAGGCTGTGGGCCCCCTAGACAACTTTGTGTTTTGTGGGCACCCGGTAAAGGCTCAGAAGTGCTCTAGAATAAAAACGCCAGAGAGGGAGTTTGGCACATGCACACACCCCGCCCAGTGACGTGCCCTAGGTCCTCGGAAACATCCCTTTCAGCCTACGACAGAGACCCGGAGCTGTGTTGAAGGGACTCTTTATTTCAGTCTTGTAATCCGAATCCTGCGACTTTGGATTTGGTAATGATACCCGGGTCAAAGGCCAAGGAGCCTGTGCAGAGCGTTCTGGCGAGCTGAGAGTGCTCTTGGCATTGTCCAAATCCCGTATGCGTACCCCAAGGTCAGGGCCAAGCCTGGGCAGGGGGAGCTGATGGCATTCAGCTGTGGCCTCCCCTCGGGTGTCCGCAGTGGCAACTCCCCCCACACGGCTTCTGGGCTGCCTGCCCTCCTCTGCTGCGGGAAGGTGTGTGGGTTCCCGGGAAGCAGAGAGCTGCCCGAGGGTCTCTGTCCTCGGCCCCCAGCTGCCAGGGAGTGGCAGGTGCTGGGGAAGGGGGCCCAGGAATCCTCCAGAACTAGAGACACCCCCTGCCTGGGGGAGAGGAGACTGGGGCCTTGCTTGCTCAGCCCCAGCTGGTGGCCGGTGTGTCTGACCCCGCCCCCTCTCTCCAGGAGCTTCCAGACGGACCCCTGGTCTCCAGGATGGCGGCCACTAGCGCGTGTGGCTCTTGAGTGACCGAAACGTGACTGACGTGACTCAGCTCCTGGGCCTTTAATGTCATTAAATTTTAATTGCCCCTGCCGTGCCTGGCCCCCGGCTCCGCGGCGGACGGTGCAGACGCGGAGCAACGCCGTTGTCCCCGGTTCTGCCGGCCGGCACGTCCTGGACGGTCTCTGCCGAGGACCAGCTCGGGGTCCTCGTGGGGGGCGGGGGGGCGGGGCGGGGCCTCTAATCTGGGACACTTCGTGGCTAACGCAAAGCTATGGCCGCCTCGGAAGATGAATCTTTACACCCACCTACACGTGTCTCTCCCCTCTCCCCGCCCCCAGCAGCCCCTAGAGAGGATTTTGATCTCACCCCCTTCCTGGTCTGGAGCTAACTCACAGGTCTTTTTTTTTTTGTTTTTTTACTAAGTCTGTGCCATTCCCCGCTTTTCCTTTAAGCTTTTCCTTTAAGACGACGGTGGCTGGCTGGCCGCATCGAGGGGAGGAGGGCGCGTCTCTGGGCGCTGCCAGGGTGGCGTGTGTGTTCCTGGGGCGCCATGTCGGAGGCCTGTGCCCTGCAGGCGGGGAGGGGCTGCGGGGAGGGGGTACGGGACGACTGGGCCCGTGCAGCCGGCAGGGAGTCGCCCCAGCCGTCCTGGTGTCTGGGGGAAGGTCACACAGAATGCGAGGGAGGAGGCCAGGCGTGGCTTCTATGTTCAAAGTGTTTTACTTAAATAAGTTTTTCTGTTGATGCGTTTGAATCTTCCAGGAAACAAATACTGACAAATACTGTACAACGTGGGCCATTTACATTCTTCTTGAAAAGGCGACGACCTTGCCCTCTGTCCCCCTCCCCCGTGAGAAATACAGAAGCGAATCCGCGGAGCAGGGGGGAGACCTCCGTGGACTGTGGGGCCCCAGCCTGGTGGATGCTGTGGGGACCCCCGGGGGCTGCGCCCCAAGCCTGTGCTGGGTTGGGGAGCCTCTCCTTCACTGTCCTCATTGTCCTTCATCAGCTGAACCCCCCACGACGGGCCAGGCAGGGTCCCACCGAGGCACCCTGGTTGCTGGCGGCAGACCTGGGATACCTGGCACAGAGACTGGGGAAGAAAGGGGGGAGTGGGGATGGGTGGAGGAGTGGGAAGGGGAGGGCAGCCGCCTTGGGATCCTGTCACGCACCCGTGTCTTTACTCAACAGGACCGTGAGGCCCCTCCTGCCCTGGGCGCTGTTCTAGGGGTTCCAGGGAGGGGTGCTGGGGGGGCCGGGTGGGGAAAAGCAAGGCTGCTCAGGGCTGGGGTGCCTCATCCCAGGCTGTGGAAGCGGCTGAGGCATGCATCTCGGGGGGGTTCGTGGCCAGAGCTGGAACGGGTCCATTTGGTGAGACCGGGGACACTGCGCCTGCAGGCGCAGTCCATGTCACTGCAGTGACGGCCACGGCTCTTAATTCAGATGAGCAGCCTGTTGCCATGGCAACCTGTTCCTGGTGCTCTGCTCTCCTGGGTCACATCTGACACCAGTCTCAGCCTCCAGCCCCGTCTCCCCAAGTCACTCATCTTGGGGGGCCTGAGAGGTGGAGACAGGAAGGGCATCCTGTTTGTGGTCAGCGGTAGGTGTGGGGAGATGCTTGGTCGTCCTGTGCTGTCGAGGGGACGGTCAGATGCCCCATGACAAGCTCTCCGTGTGACCAGGGGGTGGAGAACCCGAGGGCGTAGCTTTCTCTGGTCAGACGGGTTTAGGGGTGAGGGGCCTGGTGCCCAGCACACTTGGGGCCACTTAGGGTGACAGGGTGAGCGCAGCTGGCCCCACAGTGTACGCAGGCCTGAGCTCTGCTCCCCGGGGTCCTGAGGTCATCCCCACCTGGTGCCCGCCCTGCACAGCCTGGAGTGGGCCTGCAGGGCAGGCAGCACCCACAGCCCAGGTGAGCAAGCGGGGTGCACTCCCCCCAGCACTGCCTTCTGGAGTTGGGGCTGTGCTACCGTAAGTACCATAGTTTAGCTGCACTGTTGATCAGGTTGCACTTCCCCCACCATTAGCACAGCTTCCGTGGGAAAGTATTTCAGCAGAGCCACCCAGCCGGTCTGCCCGTGACCTCGGACAGCACAGCCCGCTCCTGAGTTGGGAATTGCCCACCCCTGGGACGACCAGCTCGCTCTCCGAGCTGATTGACTCAGCGCCCCCTGCCTTCTGCCCTTGGGGAGATGCTCCCCCACCCCACCGAGGACCTGGTTTACACGTCCTCACGGGCCTCAGGGTGCGCGTGTCCCCTGCCCCTTGGCTCTGCACACACCCCCGCAGAATTTGGGACCCAGCCCCCACCCGCTGCAGCCATGCATGGGCTCACTTAGGAGGCCACTTGGCGGGACTGGCGAGGCCTTGTGAGCTTACCCTTCGTGTGGTCATATAACCCACGGCATCCGCAGGCAGTGAGGTGTCCCCACTGTGTGCAAGGCACTTGCCTGGGCCCCGAGATAAATATCAATGAACCTCTCTCTAGCTTCATCCTGCTGTCACTTACACTGTGTCCTCTGCATCCCACCTGCACTGCACCGCACCTCCAAGGACAACCCTAGGAAGGTGTTCCCAGTGAGGCTGCGCTGGTGATCGTCTGGCCCCCTTCCCCGCTGAACACCCGTGGTTCCGTGGGAGCCACCTCGCCCAGGCGTGGCACCGGCTGCCCAGCACAGGTGCCCGGGGCAGCCCAGCGAAGGGAGCGAAGTAGCCTTGGCCTTCAAGTTCCCACGGCTTTCCAGGAGTCCCCACCCAGAGCTGTGTGTTCTTGCGGGGAGGAGGGCGCCCTACCAGGCGGTTCTGGGGGGCAGCGTCTCAAAGAGAAGAGGGGGCTTGGGCCACTGGGGTGCCTGCCAGTGGCAGCGTGGACCCTGTCGGGGTTGAGAAAACGGCTTTTGATGAATTCTGAGCTTTCCCACCTTAAACTTCCCTCCCAGGGACGGGGGCAGGAGCAGGGGACCTCAGGGGGGTCTGTCTCAATACACCGGGAAGGGGGGCCTGTACCAGGTTGCGGAAATGTCCAGAAGAGGAGGATTTCCAGCGGGAGGCTGCGTGGGGACCCCAGGGGGGGAAGCGCGTCTCTAACCTGAGTAGGAAGTACATGGAGCAGACAGGAGTGGGCAGCCTCGCCTGGTTCTGGGGCTGGGCACGTGTGCCCGAGCCCGGCCAGGCCCGCCTCCCACGAGCCGTTTCTGCGAGAGCAGACAGTGTGCAGTGTGCACAGTGTGTGTGTGAGTCAGGAGGCATGTCTGCACACACGGGTACACACGTTTGTTGTGCTTTTGCATAGGGACTGCGCCGGAGGTCGGCGGGGGGGGACGCCAGAGTCCGCAGCAGTGAGCATTGCTACGGGGCACAGAGCCGCCAAGACAGCGCCGCCCCAGAACCGTCCACGTGTCCCCCCGGGAGCACCCTCCCTGGGGACACTCCGTCCGAGGTTTGCTCCGTGGTCGAGCAGTTCCTCCGTGGGCGTGAGTGCGAGCCGTCAGGGGTCACCTCCCCGTCGCATGCATTGCGGGGCGGCTGGGCCCCCGCCGGTGGACACACCTCTGCTTCCCGCCTGCTAGACGGGCAGCGACGGCCTCTTGTCCATCTGCAGGAGCTTGGGCTGCGCGGAGATCCAGAGGTCTTCCTCGCCCTTCTTCTTCTTCTTCTTCTTCTTCCCCTGCCCCCCCTTGTTCTGCTCGGGCTGCTGGCCGCACCGGCCCGCGCGGCTCCAGCAGCAGTGGCAGCAGACGAACAGCAGGGTGAGGGCCACCAGCAGCGGCAGCGCCAGGATGACGCTCAGGCAGACGGTGTTGAAGAGGCCCTCCTGGTGTTTGGTCACGAGGAGGTCCCAGATGTCACTGAAGAAGTTGTTGACTTTTTCCATGGCTCCGCCCACTGCCAGGTCCTGGGCTCGGGGGACACGGTCTCGCCGGCTGGGAACTCACACCTCCTCCTGCGGCCGTGGGCGCGGGCAGCACCTGAAGGGAGGGAAACAGACCACCGTTCACCAAAACGCAGTGGGATGCACTACCGTTTTCAGTAACGCCGCGGGTTTTAGGCTCAGGAAAGAGGAGGGAATAATTGAGGCTTTCCGGAGGTCGCTGGCGTCATGCTGAGACCCGGTGAGTGAGATAAGTGCACGCATTCGGTCAACACGCATTCCATCTGGTGATTCTCGCTCTGCAGACTCACTGCCTGGGGCTCAGGATGTGAAAATGAAGAGGCTACCGGACCTGGCCCTAGAAGCGGCCCAGCAGTCCTTGGATAGATGAATCAGTGTGTACAGCCAGTGCTGGGGGGGGGGAGTGGGGGCTGGCCCCCAGCCCTCTGTAAGAGCGGTCCCTCCGCTGCAGCCCACCGGGTGGGTATGGGAAACACTCCCCCACCCCCCAGGGACAGCTTCGTAGCTCACCTACGGACACACCTGTGGGAGCTTAGGCGCCAGAAGGAAGGTTGATGTCTGGTGTCTGTCGGGGGACATGGGGGGGCCTTGGACTTCCCCAGGCTGTGACGTCGTCAGTTCTCATCCAGCCTCGCCCCAGCCTTCCTCCCTGTCCCTTCACGGCCCTTCCCTGCTCTGTGCCCCCCGCCCCGTCCTGACGAGGGCTCACCGTGCTCCGCTGGGGGGCCATCTGCTGCTGCTCCCTGTCTCCGTCTCCCTCGCTACCTGTGTCTGCCTGCTGTCCCTCCGCCGAGCATTCCCAGCCCTCCTCCCCGCCGGCCTGTTTCTTTTCAACAGAAAAGGCTCCATCACGGTGCTTGGAAACGGGGCTGGGCCCCAGGATCCCCGGCACCCCTGCCCTGAGCCCAGCTTACAACTGCCTTTGCTCGGGCGGCCGGTCCAGAGCAGCCCGTCTGCCTCTGGCACCTCCTCCGCCACCTCCTCTGTCACCTCCGTTCTCGGCACTTGCGTGTGAGCTCTTAGCGGCTCCTTCGGGTCCGGAGTCTGCAGGTTCTCGTGTCCAAACGAGGCCCGGAGGCCAGGCATGATGCAAGGAAATTTAAGAGACCCCTTGGTGTAAGACATTGCCCAGGACCCAAAGGGTGAAGTCCTTGGTTTTTGGGCTGCAGACCCGAGAGCTCGTCCCAACCAACTCTCCCACTGAAGATGAAGACTCTGAGGCCCAGAGTTGGGGTGGGGGGTGGTGGGGGGGGTGGTGACATGTCTGGGGACACACAGCAGTGACACACACCCAGACCCCCAGACAGTGCGACAGTGCGTCCAGCACCCTGCCGAGGCCGCTGGGCCCGTGGAGGAACGGACGGTGATAATGTCATTTCATAACTGTATCCCACTTGGCAATTTTCCAGTCTCCTCCTTGTGAATTACATCTTTTAAGTGAGCGACGGGGTGGCACACTGTCACTGGAGGGGAGTGCGGGGGGACTGGGGTCCAGAATCACCGCGGGGCCCTGTTTCCCGCCCTCGGGCCTCTTTCCTCGGACAGCACGCTCCGTAGGCATCCCTGCGCCCAGGGCGCGTGTATCCTTCAGAGCCTGCAGGGCCTCGGTCCTGGGCTGCTGGCTGGAGGCCCTGCGCCCTCGCGGTACCATCTGTGCCGCCGTCTAGACCGGCTCCTGCTGCGGGGACATTCGGCCCACGGGAGGGAGTGGGACTCTCGGCTGGCACTCGACTCTTTACGCCGGCTGGTCATTGGGTCTTCGAGACGGCCTTGCCGGGCGGCGGTGGCTACTCCCCAGTCCTGCAGCCGAGGGCCCGGAGGCGGAGGCCCCACAGCCAGTGGGCGGTGGGGTTGGCTGCGCCGGGAAGTTGGTTTCTGACGCCCCCAGGGGGTGGGCCGTTCATGGCGGTCGCTCCAAACCTCCTCTTGCCTCACGTGGAGTCAACCTTCTGGTCAAGCCGCCCGGGACGTACAGAGTCTTAGGACAGCTGGGTGACTTGGTGACTCCCGGGACTGACCTAAATGTTTACCCGGTCTGTTGCAGACAGAGATGGCAGAGAGACCGGTTTCCCATGGTCCGACACTTCACAGGGGCAGGACAGGGAGCAAAAATCCGGCCCTGCCCCAGCGAGGGTTCATCGGAAGCACGTGGCTGCCCAAACCTAACACGACAGGCAGCAAAGAAAACCATTCTGAGAGTGCACAGCCCCCCCCCCCCCGGGGGTCTGCCCACACGCCACCCAGCCCACAGGCCCCCAGTAGAGGAAGCTGCCCGGAACCCTGGAACCCACTGCGACCACTCACTGCCTCGCACGCCACACCGCTGGTCTCTGCACTGCACCGTGACCTTCGCTTTGGCCTCAGCCCGACGGCCCAGTGGTATCCGGCCCATCGAGGGGGATTTCGCTGCTCTGCGGTGGGGAGACTCGGGTGCTTTTCTCTGCTTTGCTCCCACAGGGAAGCTGTCTGGGGGCCCCGCATGGCTCTGGTTCCAGCTAGACAATTAGTGACAGCAAATTTGTTGACAGATTCCATGAAGGTGGAGCTCCTGGAGGGGGACCTTGAAAGGTGAGGGGCATCTTGACAGAAGCGTGGGTCAAGGACGCTCAAAGGTTGCAGGTAGAGGAAGGCTTAGAGGCTGGGCGGAAGCGCAGGGGCCGCCACGGGGGGGCCGGCCTGCGGCTTCAGAGCAGAGGGCTGTGGGCTGTGGCCCCCGGTCAGAGGGCGTGCTCATCTGGGGGCTTTGTGACCAGATGAGAGAGGATGTGGTGACCACAGCTGCCCTCCAGGATGAGAGAGCAGGAGCTGAAGAGCTCTGGAAATGCTTTTAGGGAGTTCTGCACCAACAGACGTGTACTGAGCGCCTAAGATAGGCTGTGTGTTGCGTTAGGTGTCGAGGATTCGGTAACGAAGGAAAAAGATAGGGTCTCTGCTGTCTCAGAACCTCACACGTATGTCCCAGGGGAGCTAGCGCCATGGAGGGATCGTGGCACAAAAGCCAAACGCCAGCACAGCCCAACCTAGGCTGCTCAGTGGCCGAAACAGAAGCGTGGACTTGAACCGTGTGTTTAGCCCAATGTCCCAGGCCCTCCTCCCCCTCCCAGCCCTTGTTTCAAACTTGTCCATCCCACGGCACCTAAAACAGCCTTTGAGTGAATAGATTTCTCTTCAAGCGAAAGCTCAATAATTCACTCCTGGGTTCCTGAAGGCACTTACTGGAACCTGCTCTCCGTATGGCCGCTGAGAGGAGTCGTTAACATTTGGGAATCCAGTCCGGGGTAGATTCGATGGAAAGGCATTCTTTATGTTTTTTTTTTAATCTAAAAACTCTCTTCTAGGCTCCCCCAACCCAGGTTATCTTGCTGAGCTCCGCTAATCAGTAGTGTTTCATGAGTATTTATGGGCCTTGCATTATTAGCATTCCCGGGACGCAGTCAGGTACCTCCTCGGTGGTGTGAACAAAGAGTTAGGGCGTCCACAGACGGTCTTGCACGAGGAACCACACTTCGGGCCTGAGAGATGCATTCTGGGAAACCCAGCTTCTGTTGGCTCTTAGTGGTCACTGACCCTGAAAGACAACTCACCGATTCTTGTAAAACCCGTGTTGGTGCCAACCAACCCCGACTGTTTGGTGGTGGTTGTGGGGGTGGAGGTGAGGCATGAGACGACGGAGGAGTTACTTTCAGTTTACTTGAACCAGAATTATTCGCCTCCGTATTCTCCAGTGTCCAGGTGGGGAGAGTCATTTATTCATTCTATCTTCCAACAGACCTCCACCTGCCCGCGTGTGAGGCGTTGCAGGAGAGTGAGGGTCGTGGGCCTCGAGACCTGGATTTGAGCGCGGGCCCAATCTCTGTGGCCGTGATGAGTGAGCGAACCTCAGCGACAGAAGGAAGCTGATGAGCTTTTCCTGTGCTGCTGTTGAGGATTCAAAGAGCTCAGTGTATTTGGTGCACTTTGTAGCTGCAAAAGGCAATGAGATACCCTCTGCAAAATCGTCGGTTATCTCTGAGTAACAGCAGATTCACAGCTTCGGGCTTTTCTCCTCCATCCCTCATCCCCAGGCCCCACTGCCAGAGGACCGTGGGCCCCCACCCCATTCCAGCAGAAAGGGGCTCCCAGGGAAGTTCCTGGCTGTGGCCAGCCCGCAGGTGATGCCAGAGGACTGCTGGGCTCATGACGTGGGGCTCGGGCCGGGAACCTGGCCCTCTGCAGGCCCTGGCCTCCGTCCTGGGCGTTGGGAGCCCTGGCTGTGTCCAGGGAGGGCCGGGTCCATCCTGGGGAACCAGGAGCTGCCCCAGAGCTGTGTCCAGGGCCGGCCCTCGGACTGGTGGTCCTTCTGGAGCCCCCCAAGTAGGGCTGGGCCACCGTAGTTTGTGCCAGCCTCCCGTTGTTTCTGTGCATCGGATGCGGTGAAACGTGCACACTGTAGAGCAGTGTCTGCTGGCCAGTCGATGCTTTTTAGAGGCATTCAGTTCACGACGGCGCCCCGTGAAAATCCCCGAGGCCAGCTCCGCGGTGGCCGGTGTTCCAGATCTTCAGCCCTTTTGTGAGGGGAGGGGCGAGGGGGGGTGGGGTTCACTTCACTCCCTGAACCTTCAAAGATCCCTGTGCCGCAGCTGCAGACTCCTGGGTGTGTGTGGCCAGCTGGGGACACGGACCTCCCCTTGCGCCTTTCCTCACGGCTCCCGCTGAGCCCCCCGCCCTGGGCTGCGGTCACGGCTGTGCTTGCTGCTGTCCCTACTCAGCACCTCGGGGCCAGCATGGTGGGCGCCCGGCCACTCTGGGAGTCAAAGATGCAGATGGCTGGCTGCTCTCCTGGAGGCCCCGATTCCGCAGGTCAGAGCACACATCCAGGAGGATGCTGGGTCCCAAATCTCCGTATCAGCAGGTTGGCCGCCGATCCTTTCCCATGAGCACAGGGGCCTTGTGGTGAGTGAAGAGAGGATCTTGGGGGGGGGGGGGCGGAATACCGAGTGACGGGCCCTGGGGTCAAGCTCTGTGTCAGGGACACGGAGCAGCCTAGTGGGAGGGGCGGGCCCTGGGACCTGGAGCGGGTTTCAGGGGAGAGTGGTT